AGACCTGGGAATGGTGGCTTTCGTGACCATCTAGGATGAGGAGGCGTTTACCGGCAGTTATACGCGGTCTGGTATACTTGTCGAAATGCTGAATCCATTCCAAACCAATCTCATTCGTGGTCCACCCGTTGTCGGACACGGCCACCTTCCAATCGCGTGGTAATATCGTGTCGCGATACCATGACGCGAGGTGGGTTTTGCCCTGTAGAATGATGAATGGTGGGACCACCCAACCATCAGCATTAACAGCAGAGATTGCTGTAGACCATTCCCTGTTGCCTTGCTGAGCTTGTCTAGGCCTGCCACGTCTTTCGGCGCTTGTAACGACTATGCCGGACCCAATAATGCCCATCATAAACCCAGTCTCGTCGAAGTTGTAAATATCCGCGTCTTGGATACCATGTTTCGCGACTGCCGCTGCAACTTGGCGAAACCACGCGCGATACGCATCTGGATCCTCGTTCAAGACCCTCTGGTAGTCTATCTTCCGATAAAAACGCGTCCGGAGGCCTGGTGTACGTTTGATAAAGTTCCGCATCCAGTTCTTTCCAACGCGTCCAGCCCCACGCGCCGCCAACAATTGATTCGCCATATCTTTAACATAACTGTACCGGGGCGGAAATGCTCGCGCATCCAGGTCCAGAATGAAGGAACAAATGGCATTCTTTTCGGAAACCATAAGTTTCAAAGTATTGGGCATGCTGTCGCGTCGTGATGGCATTTCTTTGACTCTATTGCTCAAAGTGGAACGAGGGACGTTGAAGAGTTTCGCAAGCTGAAATATAGGAATATGAGGGTCACGTCGTTTAGCTTGAACAGCTAGCTGCAAGTCTGATTCGTTATAACGCGGTGCCATTGTTGTTGGTGGAGATATGATGGTTTGAATCGTATTGGTTGGAAAGTTCATGACGAGTGCCAACTCGCTTGTAATGTCAACTCGCTTGTCAGCTACGTTAATAGATATTACTAGATTACTTTCTTAATTTAACTTTAGTAATGGAGAAGTCGCTGCCTGCTCCGCCGGGTTTAGCGGCACGCCCAATCCGGTATGGCGTCTCATCTGCCCTGTGCAAGCTCGCGCACTTGCACAGTCCAGTCCGCCGCATCTCATAAGTACAGACGGCGCCCCCGACGTTCCTTTCTGGGTACTCTCTACTTCCCCTCCTTCCACTCCCGCCCTCGGTCCTGTGGATCTTGATTTTACAGCCGTTCAGTTCTACGCCACCTGCTGTTGCCTAGACGCTTGACTCACAGCTGACTCCAAGAAAGACTTTAGCTACTTTTGAGAATCTGCGAAGCTGCCCACCTCAACACCCACCTCGACACCCATATAGTGGCTTTCGCCACCTCGGCTGTCGATTATCATCCATCGTTTGCTGGAGTTTGAATACCTCTCTGCCCAAGCCGTAGAGCTCGGAATGTCTGGGTTAGGACCCAAACTCTGCCAGATAATTTCATCAGGTACTGGACGCTGTGCGGAGTGCTCAGGGGACTCCGCTCAGGGGGAGTACACCTGTCCTTTGGTAGTCTGCAGTATGCGCAAAGCAGGTCCTCGACGGCAAGGGGCAATCAGTCCTTGCGTATGGTTCCAGAATTCGCCGTGGAAGCCCGAACAAGGACTGAGCAAGGCGTTACGGTCCTCCACACTGGGCGCTTATTTGGCTCAAACATTTCTTTCTCGCCCACGTAATTGGACTGTTGCGATAACCCAGCCATTTCATGCGGGTGGACGGAATATATCAGCTGACAAACCTTGACCCTCAATCGTCACTGGAGGTCTCCGAGTTGGCTGAATGAGGCAGGTGCTCTCATACTCTGTCGCGGCAACTCCGAGGATCGTATGACCGCGGGAGAAACTATTGGCTAGTGATGATTGCGGCGGATCTGTGTTGTCTGGTGATATCTCTTGGCGGTAGTGATCGACAGCACGATGATGTTCAATGCTCGTGATATTCACGCTCTGGCAGATTATCCACTTGGTTTGGGTGTGACTGCTTACATCTCGTTTCGGCTGACGATCAATACCCGTCGTGCTCAGCTCTATGTCTCGAGCCAGCTATAAAGTCAACGTTCTTGTGTTCTAGAGGATTCTGTTCTAAAGCCAACTCAACTACTTGTTCGTTACTCTTGACAGTGTAGCGACAATGCCGGTCAATCTTAGTTATATCAATTTCTACACGCCCCTTAAGCCAATTGTTTCACCGAAATCTGGTTCTGTGAGAAAACCGGGTTTCCACGAGTCCACGTGCTCAGGCTCAGACGGTCGTATCCGATATCCCAGTTCAAACGGGACCGAAGAGAGCCATGGCCAGCGAGGCTCAAGCCTGCCTTCTAGATCACGCCCGCTGCCCAGCGACGGACATCCTACCTCAGAGAAGACTGCTACTGGGACCGCAAATGACACAGCTTACTCTGCGTCACTCACTCTTGAGGTAGTTGTGGCACAGGGCTGCTTTGCTCCTTCACTGACGGAACCGTATGAAATGCAACGAGATCAGCCACGCTTTATGAAGGACTACCCAGATCATTCTCAAAGCACTAAACGCCACGCTGACCAGACGAGCGCGGTAGCCAACACCGTATCCTAGTCGGTACAATTCCCTCTGCTTTAGTTGCCACCGCCGAGCAGCGCGATAGTTTCTTTATTCCTAAATGCAATGCCTGACACGATTCAGTTACCACACCAAGGGTCAGGGACTGGTTCTACTGAGAAGCACCGTAAAAAGCGAGGCTGCGCATGTATGTCTCCTGGTTCTTATTCAGAAAATGCCTTCTTAGACCGTGCAAATTCTGGAATATCTGAAAACGGTGCGACGCCACCCTTTGACATGGGCGATGAAACATTCGATGATAATAGTCGGGACCTGGACTATGTATCACAGTCAGCTACTACCAATAATGAAGACAGAGAAATTGATCCGGATCCGCTTCCATCCGATGATACATCTGACACAGGATCTATCGATCAATCGTCTGCAGCATTGTTCGAAGAATGGCCACTGAAGGACGCGCTACTCAAGCGCGTAGGGGTGGGCGGTGTAACGACCTTCCAATTGCAATTTTTGTGGGAGCCAGGGAGTACGACCAAGCGGTATAAAGCGAGACAAAGGGTCGCAGCTGCGCGAAGGAAATCTCAAAGGTTTTCAAGAGCCGAAGAAGAACTACTCGTTCAACTGAAAGACGTGGAGCGGCTACCGTGGGTAGACATCTACAATAAATTCACGAGCCGTTTTCCAGGACGAAGTAAGGCATCTCTTCAGGTTCGTTATTCTACAAAGTTAAAGGACAGGTTAGGCGGTGTGCAATCGCTGGAGTAGTACAGAAGCGGCAGAGAGCGCCGCACATATCAAGCGGTGACTGGCTCAGTGTCAAGTAGGCGGTGTCTGGGTAAAGGAACAGCAGCAAGGTGATCATGGATTGCAGGGAAATTTGAAACGAAGCGAAGCAGCAGAAACATATTCTTTTAACGGAAGAAGCCTGGTAGACAAGATGGCAATCCATGTATGCAATCAAGGTAAATTTCTATAGCAAAATGCACAAAGGCTTCGGCACAACACGACACTGAGACATCGAACTGCGAGAACAAAGTAACTGTTGAAGGTAACGAAACAGTCACTTCACCGTATCTAGACCCCCCTGAAAACGACCGGACTGTGGCTGTATGTACATCAGCAATGTTGCCCGTCTCACCACCCCCGAGCAAGATAACCTGTCTCAGCCTTCCCACAAGTCGCCCTCTCATCCCTTGCATCAGGGGTTTGAATCGCCAAACATCGCCTCTGAAACCCATTCAACGCCGAGAGAGTCAGCGCACACCTTCTGCTATAGATTATGGCCAGGAGCCCAATAAATCTACTTGCAGGCGGCACCTATTGACATCTGTTAGCAGTAGAGCCCTGTCAATTTTGGCTAGGAAATGCGGCCAGCCACATTTATGTGTCCTTTAGCGATACTTTAATCCTTAGAGAACTAGCTTGCTTCGATGCGCTTTAACAGTCAGGCCATAATCCAAGCTAATAAGGAAGAGGTGATTAAAGCCGATCATAATTATGAAATTCGACACCCGGAATCAGGTCTTGCGTCAAGGAAAATATACTAGTTTCGGTAGGCGATTTTTAATCCTGGAATAGGGTCGCCACATAGAGCAGGCGGTGCTTGATGAGGTAGGCGGTGTGATTACGCTTTGATCCTGCCTGTGATCTAATTCCCTCACCGCCTGTCCATCCCCTTACCGTCAGCGGAATTGGTACTCCTCGCCTACACGATTCTGATACCGCCTGCCCGATGTAGCACCGCCTGCTTGGCGCGGTACCGCTTTTCCGATGCGACACCGCCTCCTCGATGCGTCACCGCCTGCTTGATGCGTCACTGCCTGCTCGATATCACACCGCCTGCTTAATGTGGTTCCCTAATACATACTTTGAATGCCGGAAGCCATCGCAATACCAAGTTGGGTGGAGGGGCGTGCGTCTGGCATAGGGTATTTTCGTTGGCGCCCTCACAATCCACTGGAGCTATATCCTTAGGCCCCAAATGCCCTGTGGCCCTCACAAGGTAGTCACAACCAATCAGAGCTCGGGAAATTGATGACTCATGCTCACTACCGGGTAGCAAGCCTTTTTGATCTGCGGTCGCTCTATCATCATCCCACCCAACCTTTATCCAGCAGCCTCCCTTCTGCTACAGCCTGGCACCGCGCGCGTGTGACAAATACAGTCACTCTTCTCCCAATCCGACTGAACCTCTGACAACACAGTCAACTCGCAACCGTCATGGCGGCCGCTCTGCCCCGACGCTCAAAACGCATTTGTAGTGGCAAAAACCACCCGGTCGGTACCATTTCTAAGCACAAGCCGAAGAAGACCTCTTCTATCCAACATCGACATACCCCCGATCGTGACTGGCCTATAACCAAGCTGCTAGGCTTTTGCGAGACCGGGGACGGCGTTGAATACCTGGTCGACTAGGAGGGCCCGTATTCGCCCACCTGGGAACCAATCATGAATGTCTTGGCCATGGATATTCATGAGTACCACATTAGTCTTCGCGGCTTGAACGCAGAAAAACATCTGCCCACCCCCAGTGATGAGCCTGCTCACCTTCACCGCCTACACAATCTAGAGCAGAGGGCGGGTACGCAAGGCATCCGGCACCATTCGCAGGAACAGAATGAAGGTGTGTTGAACACACGTGGTTGGCTTCACGTCACGTCCCTACTAACTGGTGTCTGTCAGGGATGATCCCTGCTTTAATGGGGTTTGGTGAGGCTAGCAGCTTTGGCCCTTCTAGTACCCAGCCTCCCACCAACCTCCGCAAATCCGTCCATTTTCTAGATCAGCCGACAAGACTAGAGACGCCAGCCAACACGGTCTTCTTATCTCCGAGCATCTTCGAACCAGTCCCCCTACGTGCGGGCGACTTCCTTATGTTAAAAGAGTCATAGGCTAGGCGGCGCGGGTTAGATCGCTACCACGGCTATGCTTGGTCTTTATGGTGATGACCAGAGGTCAGTCGACTTGCAAGATCTCAAGGGCGTTAGGCTGGACAAAGAAGCGACGCTCCTGAGAGGCACGCGGCGGCTGGTGCCAGGCATTCCGTAGCCAATCACCCCATTGCTAGCCCTCAACGGTTATTTCTAGCGAGGTATTGGCTCGACAGGCTTTTATTCGCAGGTTTGGTGCTCGTAGTATGCTTGGGGTCGTTGTTTCAGACTCTACTATCTCGGACGTTACGCAGACCTACATGACCTCGAATTCCCCTCGATCACCGAATAGACGCTAAACCGAGAAGCTGATGGCGGGGGGAACAAAGACGGGCACAAGGCACACAAGTGGACATCAGGTATCACGAGTTCTTTGATGATTTGTACGACAGGCCCTTCTTAAACAAGGTCACAGAGGATGACATCAATAAATACCCAAGGAATGAAGAGTCTGTCGCCGTTCAAGGCATCAAAGCAAGGTTGCCTCCCGAATACAACGATCTCATCGACGTCTTTTTAGAAGCCAGGAAACTAACCTAACAGCGCACATATGCCAAAAAAATCGACATTAAACCCCACAAAACGGTACCAAGCTCGAAAACACGACCGATGTCACAATCAGAACTGAAAGTAGTGAAGAAATACCTGAACGACAACATGCTCTAAGAGGTTCATCCAACCATCACTGTCAAAATCAGCTGCTTCACTCCTGCTGGCACATAAGCCTAGTGGTGGCATCCGGGTATTGGTGGACTACAGGGGTTTTAACAATATGACAATTAAGAACCCTTACCCTCTGCCGCTAATCAGATAAATCCTCGATGCCCTATGCATGTCAAGAGTCTTCACAAAGCTTGACGTGATGGCGGCGTTCAACAGGATCCTTGTGGCGAAAGAGCATGAGTGAAAACCGGCATCCACGATGAGATTTGGCCTCTACAAGTTTCGGACTACAACGCTCCCTTGACCTTCCAGCAGTACATAAATGACACACTATACAGTTCCTCTGATGAAGTCGCATCCGCGTACCTTGACGACATTCTCCCTCCTCATCTACTCGAAGAACCTCTCAAGAGTATAAAAAACACGTCAGAAAGGTCCTGCTAGCTCTCGTTATATAATTTTTGTTTGATTAAAGACTCGCTTAAAGGCTATAATGTGAAGAACGAATCCCCTGATGAATAGTATATTTGTGGTGTTAGATTAGACAAGTCAGCGACTTATTGATCAGGCGGTGATGTATCGGGCAGGGGGTGCCGCATCGAGCAGGCGGTGACGCATCGAGCAGGCGGTGTCGCATCGGAAAAGCGGTACTGCGCCAAGCAGGCGGTGCTACATCGGGCAGGCGGTATCAGAATCGTGTAGGCGAGGAGTACCAATTCCGCTGACGGTAAGGGAAACAGGCAGGCGGTGTGGGATATCTTCTCTTTTGGATGTTGTTAGATTCAAGCGAGTTCAGTGATTGGAGGGTGATTCTTCGTGTATTGCATGTAGTGTGTTGTATCTGTTCTGTCTGTTCAGGTGCCCCTGATCGGTTCCCAGTTTGGTGCTGGTCATCTCCGCCGTACCGTGGTTTTTCCGGTCGGACTCGGCTCATCTTCATGACCCCTGTTATCCAACACACCCCCCCAGATGCCGGCCTATTCAGTAGGGGGCATCTGTCATGATAGTATCATCTGAGAGGTCTGAGCACTCTCCTCCAAGTAACATATCTTCCAATTCTTCAAGATCGTCATCTGTGATCTCCTTCTTCCTTCTCTGTTGGATGCGGTCACGGATGTCCACCAAGCCCAGTTGACCGACGAATCTCTTGAACTGTTGAATTGGCAAAGCCTTGGTCAAGCCATCAGCAACCATACTGTCCGTTGGCACGTATTCCACCTTTATTCTTCGACGTTGAGCCTCTTGACGTAACCAGTGGTTGTGAATATAGACATGTCTGAGTTTTGTCTGAAGAGTAGCGATGTCCTTGTGTACCAATCCGATCGTCTGTCGATTATCGCATTGAATGACAATGCGGGAGCTATCCAAACACACGCCTAGTTCCCTGATCAGGCGAGATACAAACATGGCTTCTTTAGCAGCCTGCGCAAGGGACAACAACTCTGCTTCTGTCGTAGAAGTAGTCACTGTAGCTTGCTTATTCGCTCTCCAACTAATGATCCCTTCGAACAATCTCATGACGTACGCTTAGGAGCTCTTTTGATCGAGGGTATTGTTGGCAAAGAAGGCATCGCTTGCTACTTCGAAGAGGTCGGAACCGCCGTACTCTAGGGAATGATATTGGGTACGCATAAGGTATCGGATGAGGCGGTCGGCTTCGTGATGGTGCTCAGGGCTAGGATTCATGTTGAAACGTGACAGTCGGGAAGCGGCGAAGGCTACATCTGGGCGAGTGATCACTACTGCGTACAAGATTGATCCGATCTTTTTTTGATAACTGTTGATGGATTTCAGCATGGCAATCTCGTCGTAAGGAAGGAGTTTCTTGTTCTTCATCGGAGTATCTTCTCTGTTCCGAGGGCTGCTGTCAACCAATCTAGCGATCTTGTCGATATACGACGATTGGGAGAGCCAAATCAATCTCTGCTTGCGGTCTCGAACAATCTCAATACCAAGGAACCATTGAAGGTCGTCTCCTCCTGTCATCTGGTAACGTTGCTTCAGTTGGCTGACCATGTGGTTTGCTGTGCCTTCCTTTTCTTTCCTGTACGCGATGACAATGTCATCCACGTAAAAGAAGACCAATACACCATCTCGGGTGAAACAGCAAGGCTCGTGGGGGACTTGTGTGTATCCCAAGCCTGTGAGAGTCTTCGTTAGCTCCTTCTGCCAAAGCAAGGGTGATTCCTTGAGTCCATATAATGCTTTCAGGAGTCGCAGCACTGTGCATGGCTTCCTGTACCCTGGGGGCATCCGCATGTACAGTTCCTTGTCCAGTTTCGCATTGACGAACGCGTTAACTGCGTCGTACTGTATAAGTTCCAGATTGAATTGCGCAGCGATTGCGATAAGTGTTCTGAATGAGCGGCTGGCAAGGGTTGATGCATAGGTGTTCTCGTATTCGCCTTGAGGCTGTTGGTCTCCTCTGACCATAAGGCGAGCCTTGCATTTCAGAAACCAGCCATGCTTGTTGAATTTGTACACGTATACCCACATGCAATTAAGCACATGTTTGCCCTATGCCGTTGTTAGCCCAATTTCTTTCTATGTATTCATTTCGCGGTGGCTCGCAAGATAAGCTCTTTCTGCTCCTCTAAACCCCGACTGCATGATGTGGGATCTGAGATCTTTATGCGTCTTTGGAGGGGGAGGTAGGTCTCGGCAATGTAGTCTCGCTCCGCTAGCTATCATACGCCTCAACCTGTCTGGGTCATATGACCTGTCAGACGGTCCATTTTGAGTATCCGGGCTATTGAGCCACACAGATGGTACAGTCTGTGTGTCCGGGCATCGTCTCACGGACGGTCCATTTTGAGTGTTTTCAGGGTGGCGTCTCGGATGGTTTACCAACCGGGCTTTCTTGGCCTTGTTCACCGGCTCACTATGCAACATCTCCGTGGAGCATAGGCGTCCTGCATTGAACGTGGCCTTCCAGCTCCTTTGACAAAGTGCTGCTCTGGTGCAGAACGACGCGTGGTCATTCAGGAATCCATGGGCGTGGCGCTCCGCTGCCTTTCCAGACCCCATTTCATCAGCTTCTCTGATAGCTGCAGTGAATAATGACGCGGGTGGCGGTGTGTGATCGGGCGTCGGATACGGTATAAAGAATGCATCAGTGTAGGGGTGATCAGTCCCTTATGCATCTTCAGAGCAAGCCTGTGGCTGTTTATGTACGTCCGAATTCACTCTGTCATCGCTCACAGCGACAGCACCGTGTTCATCGTCTGCAATAGGGGGACTGGCGTCCTCGTCCTCTTCGCTAATCGCGGGTCCATTTCCAAGGCTCGAAGCACTTAATATCTCAACTCTACTGAGCAGGTTGGATAATTCATCTTCGGTGATGTGAAGGAGGTCATCCTTCAATTCACCCAAGTCACCTGAAAAGGTGCTGTCCTCGTCAAAGATGACGTCGCGCGTGGCGATGACCTTGTTGGTCAAGGGATTCCAGATTCGATAGATGTTCGACGAGTTGTACCCGACGAGATAGCCGATCCACGCTTTGGGATTGAGACGCTGCTTTCGTTTCTTCTTGAGTTGAGCCTCGGAAGTCATGGAGTATGCCTTGCATCCGAATACTCGAAGATGCCCTTGATGGGGCTTGTGGTCAGCAATTTGTCCATCCCTGCACATCAGGTAAGTGTGGAATCTCTCATAGGGTGTTTTCCAGTTATAGATGTATTTGGGGGTCCGATTGTACAGATATACTGCCGTTCGGAAAATCTCCACCCATAGGAACGCGGGCAACTTAGCTCCTAGTCGCATTGCGCGTGCTTTCTCCTTGATTACACCCCCTGAGCGCTCTGCTCCTCCGTTCTGATCCTGTGTATTGGTGGCTGAGGGCTCAAGCCGTATCTTCTTGGTGACGGACAGGTAGTCTCGAACTTCGTGCTTTCGATCCGTGATCTCGTTGTCGCACTCGATAACTTCGGGAAGGACTTGATGTTGTTGTTCCAGGATTCCAAACAGGAGCTCGAATGTGGCAATTAGTGTTTCAGCGTATCGGTCGCTGAGATAGAAATCCCAGTTGTATCCTGACCATCTATCGGTCACGAGCATAACGCTTAAAAAACCTTCGATTGTCTCCTCTAGGTCATGGAAGTCAACCGCAAGTCTGACGCCAGGCTTAGCCGGACGATTTCGTCGAGTACGTCGATTCATCTTCTTGGCTTTCGCGCAGCCACAGGCGTTGCACTTGTTGGTAGGGATTCGAACTTTGTCTTTGATCTTCACCCCCCGAGAGTGGCCCGCAAGGTGATTCAAGACCTCAGGTCCTGGATGACCCATTCTTAAGTGCCATTGAAGGCTATCAGCCGTGTTCGGGGCTCTCTCGGTCCAGGAGTTGAACTTGTGCCTTCTTGTAAAGAAGGCCTGTTTAGTCAGTGTCTCTGGCACGTCTTCGATGACGAACTGGTCATGTTTGTCAAATAGTTCGCACAGTATGGTATCGTTCTTTCTCCGAAGGTAGTTGTTAGATCTCTTGTTGTCCCACCAGAGCCCTTGGCGCCTGAGAAGTTGTAGGGATACCAGGTTGCATGCAAAACCTTCACAGTATACGACTTCGTGGAGGCGCATGATCCTGACACCTGTTGGTCCAGTCACTTGGATATTGACGTCTCCATATCCCAGGATGGGTACTGTTGTGTCGCCTGCAAAGACCACATCTCCTGGAGGTGCTCGTCGGAAATTGAGGAACCTGGTAATCATGTTGAAGATGTGTAGGGTAGTCCCAGAGTCGAGAATGGCTGAATTTTTTAAGGGATATGATGATGTACCAAATGCCGCAGGATTCGCAATGAGAAACGATCCGTGCATACGTACGATTTCCCGAGCTAGTCATTCCGTCATTGTCGGCGCAGTAGACTTGTTGAGTCGGCTAACTTGTTCTGCTAAATTCGAGTCGTCCTTGATGCGTTGTTGAACAAGTCGCTTGCTGGTTTCGTTTGGAATCCAGCCCTTAGGTGCTTTGCTTAATACCGCGTAGAAGCATTGCGAAAGCTCATGGAATCCGAGGCAGGCCTTGCATGTTGCTCCGTCTGGGTTGGTGAGTGTCTCGGCCCGCGGTCTTTTCGAACTTGATCGATTTTCTCGGGTACCTCCTCCTCGAGGTCTCCTACCTCTCTGAGGTCTTCTTTGTTTCTGTTCGTGGTAGTTGGTACTGCAAATATCTTCGGAATGGTTCTCCTGGTCTTCTTGATCCGCTTTGTCGCCAAAATGTGCTGCAAAAGAACCTTTGGCTATTTTCGAAGACGTGGGTGCTCTGTAGAGCGTTGCTGCATGTTCTCGGAGATCGGAGGCGATAAGTCTGAAGTTCATCTTCCCTCTTTCTAGCTTGTTTCGATTTGTAGCTCGAAATGCTGAGACCCATTCCGGAATGACTTTGCGTAGAGCCCGTGACAGGTCCGAGAAGATGGACTCGGAATCTGCTACATCGCCAACGCCTTTTTCTTTGGCAATAGCAACTGCAGCTTCCTAGTTGTTGATCCATGCAGCCAAATCCCTGGGTAGCTTGTTAAGTGGCTTGACTGCTTCTCGATATCGGTCTCGAGCTGCAGGCTTGAGTTGTGCCACGCTAACACTTGCGATTTCTTTCAGGTCTGTATACCACGCGTCAAGCAGCTTGGTTGGTCGGCAGACTGTGTCCTTGTAATGAGTTGACACGTTGTCGAGCACCCATTGTACCATTTCCTTGTAATTCTTGCGATGGGTCTCGTATTTCCGATCCTCGTAGACAAACACAGTCCAGTCTGCGTTGAATAGCATTCTTCCTTGCGTCGTCATCTCGGACACCGCTCGTGGGTGGCTATTTGGATCAATTCGTTCGGTTCGTTCGTTCTCTGGTGCAGTATCGTCTAAGGTGTGAGAAGTACCTCGGCTTCAAGTGTCGCGATCGAGACGTTTTGGGTAATCTTTGTATTTAGGCTTCTGGGGAGGCTCTGGCCACTCCTCTCGTTCTTCATCGTCCGGATTGATGTGATCCCAGAGCTCTAGAGCAATTGCTCTCGATTGAAATTCTCTGTCCCACGACTCCCAATTCTCCGAGCCGTGGAAAACGCTCGAGTCTTTCGTTGCTGATTGTGCCATTGTATCGATTGACTGAAAGTCGCTTGTCGTTGGTTGGTTAACTTAGGTGATCAAGCCAAATGAGACTCTTAATTGTTAGATTTAAGCGAGTTCAGTGATTGTAGGGTGATTCTTCGTGTATTGCATGTAGTGTGTTGTATCTGTTCTGTCTGTTCAGGTGCCCCTGATCGGTTCCCAGTTTGGTGCTGGTCATCTCCGCCGTACCGTGGTTTTTCCGGTCAGACTCGGCTCATCTTCATGACCCCTGTTATCCAACAGATGTCTTGAAAGACAATATGAGCGGGAACTGGATCATGGGCAGGAACTGTATCAATTGATTGATTTGATTGATTATATTTATCGTGGGTGCAGTCCCTTAACAGGGCAAACCACGCCTCCCAGAGCCATTGCATCGCAAGGTTGTAGAGGTGTCAGTCTAGATACATTCAGATCCGCGCACGGGCCTATCCTCGCTGTAGCGGTACCAATCTGGAGTGTCCAGATGGTTTTAGTCAATACACAAGCACGATTCTGTCAGAAAAACCTCCTGTCCAGTGACAAAGCGACCCAGTGAACCTCAGTCCTCTGGTGTACACATCGTTCCAGTAGCCGTTCGATATATGTCGCATTGGTGGGTGAAGTAGGTGTTTGTTATCTGCTGGCGAGGGAAAACCTCAAGGGGAAAAACCTCGCAGGAGTGGGGTGTTGTGGAGACAAGCTGCTTGGCTATCGGGCTCTGCGATAATAGGGCATCTCCACTGTCGTGTGCTGGTTGTCGACTCGCACAAGCCGGGTCAGAAGGGGGCCATAGCAGGATTCGAACCCACTTGTTCTCGTCGCCCACCGCACAAATGAGAACACAACCAGGCGCATTTGACCATTGCGCCATACGGCCATAGATGTGATGAAAACAGGTAAATAGAGGTTATCTTGCCATGAAGGCAGATTTCATGCTCGAACACCAACAAATATACGTATTATGGAGCCACATACAGTTTTGATGGCTTCACTTTGCTGCTTCTTAGCAGTGGTAGTGGCCAACGGGGGTGTGTTGCGTGGTCAGGTGACCCACTTAGGCTGGCATATTGCTCACATCCACTGACATAGAAAGGGTGGTCTGTCAGTCACCGCCTAGGCTACAACCTGAAGATCGGGGGTATCATGGATGGTTGAGGGAGTGTATTCATTGCCTAGCCGCGTGACCATATAATAAAACCTGTAATAACCGAACGGTGTGGCCGGGCTTTACCCCGCTAGCACCGTACCCCTCCCAAGGAACCGAGCAGCTTGGTGAAGGAGCCCTATAATTCCCACTCGTGCAAGCGGCAAAGGGGATCTACGATTGACGGTAAACGTGGCTTATTTTCGTTTAATCCGTGCGTCGTAGCGAATACCACTAGTGCACCGGTTGTCCTTGTCTTGCCCTTTTCCTCGCCAAGCTTTTCGGCGTTCCCCTTTCTGTCCTCAGCACCCTAACAGTGGGTTACCTCAGCGTGGCGCAGATGCTCCGCGCCAAGCTTTTGAAGTGGAAATGTTCATTACGACTGGCAAAGACGGGGGCCCGTACGTCCTCTTCCGATAGTCTCAACTCCCCCCTGCGCGGACGGCAGAGGCAGCGTGGCTTATGGGTCATGAAATGTCGGATAGGGAGGATGATGTGTTTATAAACGCTGGGCAGCTAGGTGCCTTACATATCAATTTAGGTGACAAGGACCTATCGCATGAACCACTTTGCTTGCTTGTAGGATTTGGCCATGGGTGGTCGATGCTGTCGAGCGGCTATGAATGATAGGCCAGGAAGCAGTGAAATGATGTAATACACATGCATAGGATAGCTGCTATGATTCACTTGTGACCACTCATTTTTTGTACATATCAGAAGCTAGGAAACACCAAGCTAGGGCGCCGAGCTCATTTTACGTCCTGCTCACGATCCAGTTCCAACCCCTGGTTCAGCTCCTGTTCACGATCCAGTCCCTGCTCATGATCCTGTTTCATCTTCCCTTGCGAAAGATTTATCCACTTCTTGGCTCGCCCCCGATGAGATCAACTTCGGAGAAGAATAACATGATGGTCTGCTCAATAAGGGACCCGACTCTCGGGCGCTTGCCAAATCTACTAGAACAGGCTTCCCCGCGTAAATAAACGAGACAGCACGCGCTGTATTTTCGTGGGTCTTCCATCCAGATGGAGATACCTCTTGGGTTCCGCTTGACGATTGGAGCTCGTCGTCAGATTCGCACAGGCACACCGGAATCTTATCTTGTGCCGACTGGGAAACATTGGGGGAGTCGTTTGGGGTCGGTATTATTGGCTCAGTTATCTTGAGATTGAGATAAGAAGGTGGGCGTGACGGGGTCACAACATCTCTCTCCCATTTGGTAGAAAGATCGATGATGTTCTCGGCTTCGTGCTCGAGATTTTCCATATTTATAAAGGCTGCACTTGAACCTATTTCAACTAGATGTGGGGATGCTATAAATATATTATAACAATCGGCAATTAGCTTCACTGCTGCAGTGTAAATATTTTCTACATGGTACTAAGATATATAACTAGAGCTATTTGCCCTTTGCTATAAACTGCCACTTATCACTCTAAAAAAGCGGCAATAATGGCTTTTAAAGTCCGGCCAGGGCCTAGATTCGGAACACACAGCACCGGGGATGTTAGAGCAGGCAGACAACTATAGTGAGAGCCCCAAGGATATTATGTAGTAGAAAATAAATAAATGAGCCAAAATTAGACAGTACAGCATCTAGGGTGGCTGATTAAGATCATGATTTTGATCTCATTTTCCCACTTGCAATAAAACAACATTGACGGCTCATTTTGGCGAGGAATGCTATCAACAATCTTTGCTACCAGCAGCGTTAGGCCTCGACGACGGACTCGGGCATGGCCGGGTGCAGCAGTGTCGCCACGAAGATCCGGTCCTGGGCGCCAATTCGCAGCTTATCACCCTTGTGCTTGTGGCTGCAATCTATCCTTAGCCGCTTAAAGGGATATGCCTTGAGATACAGTAAGTACCAAGCTCAAATGAGTAGCTTTATATAGCTTGGATCAAGAACTAGCCTAAACAACGTCAGCATGTATTGGACGCTTCCAAATTTGGCTTATTTGAGCTGAAAACCCGCTAAACAGGCACCAGATAAAAAGAATATTATCTATAATAGTTTATTTAACGCCGTAGCTTGTCTCCACAATACCCACTCCTGCGAGGTTTTCCCCCTTGTGGTTTTTCTCGCCAGCAGATAACAAACACCTACTCCAACCACCAATGCGACATATATCGAACGGCTACTGGAACGATATGTACACCAGAGGACTGAGGTTCACTGGGTCGCTTTGTCACTAGATAGGAGGTTTTTCTGACGGAATCGTGCTTGGGTATTGACTAAAACCATCTGAACACTCCAGATTGGTACCGCTACAGCGAGGATAGGCTCGTGCGCGGATCTGAATGTATCTAATTTGACACCTCTACAACCTTGCAATGCAATGGCTCTTGGAGGCGTGGTTTACACTACTGAGGAGCTACCCCCCACGTTAAATACAAAACAAACAAACAAACAATGTATGGGGTAGACACGAGATGGCTGAAACATTGTGGCTGGAATGTGTGGCTGGATGATTGGGTAGCGTTGATAATCTGATGAGGTTCACCATGATTTCCCTGGCAGTGGATGGGGTTGCCGTGAACCATATTTGGCGAAGAATGGCAATCTAGAAACATATACGGCAGCTGTTGTCATGGCTTGCTTTATAAAAAGGGAGGCAGACAAAGAAAATCCTCCCGCAAGCTATGGGTCTGGAATGTAGGCTTGTGCTGCTGAGCGAGATGACCTGTAATATTGTGGCGACACATCCTGGGACTCGAGCAATCCAGGTTATCATGGTGGTGCTACACTCGCGCAGACCATGGCAGATCACGGACTGGATCTGATCTCCGAGCCAGATGTCCCGACACATGACGACGGAAACGTACTGGATCTAGTCTTCTCAGATGTCCTTATGGCCGAAGCTTCGGTCAATGATGCACTCCAGTGCACCTCAGATCACAAGACATTGCGAATAGTCGTTCCAATTCAGGGAGACCTTGACCGGGTCCCCAAAGCCGATCGCCTGATAGTATCGGACGATAAACTACAGGAGCTGGCTGATAATGTCCAAAACAGGATCCACGAGCTCCCCCAGCTGGGTGCATCCCCTGGCCAAGTGGATGTCTTTACGCAGAGCCTGATCGACGTGATCCAAGGCTGCGTCAAAACAGTGGGCAAGAAGCCCCGACAGTCTAAGCCCACTGCTTGGTGGAATGATGAATGCAAAGCAGCAGTTAAGTCATAAGAGGCCGAACGTTCGAGTCACAAGAGAGCAAGGCGAATGCACTACGTTTAGCCACGCTTGAGCGAAGTACCCCAGACAACGATATCATCGACCCTTGGTCCGCTCAGATCGCACAACCCAATTCACACATCCCCCTCGAATACCACGTCGGACTAGAAGAGGCCGAAGGGTGCACTGTGGGGACCAAGAGCAACTCCCCGGGAGTAGACGCCCTCACGGTACGGATTCTGAAAGCTTGCTGGCCAGTCATCGGGGAACATGTCAGAGCCCTTTTCCAGACCTGTCTATAGATTAGTCACCACCCTAAACCATCTAAAGTAGCTGAAGTGGTAATGATCCCAAAACCAGGCAAGAAAGACTATTCCAACCCCAGGGCCTACAGACCAATATCGCTATTGTCATGTCTTGACAAAGGCCTAGAACGACTCATCGCAAAAAGAATCGCCTGGTTTGTTATTAAACTTAGAATTCTAGCTCCACAACATTTTGGAGCTCTACTGAAGCGCTCTGCCACCGACTTGGTAGCTGCACTCATACATGACATCGAGCAGGCCCTCGACCAAGGCCTCGTTGCAACGGTAGTCACGTCAGATGTGAAAGGTGCCTTCGACGCTGCCCTAATGGGACGACTGGTGGTTCGTATGGGAGAACAGGGCTGGCCGGGCTTTCTCATAAGATGGGTCCAGTCATTCATGTCCGAGCGGTCCGCAAGGGTCCGGTTTGAAGGTATCGTGACCGATGTGAAAGCTCTTACTTGTGGTCTACCACAAGGCTCACTGGCCTCCCCAATCCTTTACATGCTGTATACAGAGCCAATCTGTGCCCGGCTTGGTGTGAAAAGGAGACGCTTTGGATACGCAGATGACCTAGCGATTCTCTGCATCGGAAAGGACCTTGAAGAAACAGCCGCGGAGGCTTCCAAAAACCTTCACTCGCTTAATCAATGGGGAATGTCACGGCGAGCATACTGAGGAGCTGGGACATGGCTGGCAACAAGCAGCTATTACTCTATTGACGAGAATATCAAGACTAGAGAGGAAAGGAAGAGAGAGAGAGAGATAGGTACAGTGGGAGGTTGCCCCTTTAAGGGGATCCTCTGGTCAGATCCTTCCCCTATTGGGAGGTATCCACTTGTCATGTGGGAAGGTCTGTGCAGGCCGCCACAGCCGTCACAGGGAAACGACAACGCTATTGAATTCGACCCCAACAAAACAGAGATCATGCACTTCTCGCGAAAGAAGAACTCGGACAACCCTCCGGTCCGCCACGAGACAATGAACAAAACAGCAGAGGATTCCATGCGATGGCTAGGTGTCCTGCTGGATAGAAGGCTAAACTTCAAAGATCACGTTTCCCACTGGGCCAAGAAGGCTAGTAGGGTAGCAAATCATCTTCGAGGACTATGCAACATGGTTAAAGGGCTTCCAGTAAAGTCAACTAGGAGGGTTGTGAAAGCTTGCGTTATACCCATTCTTACACACGGCTTGGAGGCCTGGTACCCAGGAATCAAAAAAACTAGGAGCTTAGGCGGGACATCAGCGTATCGTTTCAAGGGGCTTCTCGGAACGATGGATGCCGTACTACGGACGGCGATCAGGGCTATCTTGCCAGTCTGGAAAACACACCCTGGACATATCCTACACTTTGAATCACAGATTCCCCCAGCAGGAGTTCTCGCAGAGTCAATAAGACGACGTCACGGCCTCCGGCTCAGACGAATAGACCAGAGACACCCTCTCGTCGGCAGGCTCCGAGTACAAGCTCGCAAGGAACTGACAAGGCTACAAAAGAGCTACCAGTTAGTTCCTAACTTCCAGAGACCGATGCTCACCAAACCATCGTGGAAAAAGCCCCCAGCCCGCAAGGACAAAGACTAAGAAATAAAGCTCTTCAAGCAATGGCTACGGGGGAGAAACGTGAACACTGACCTTGTTATCTACTCGAATGGATTGCAATTGGACGATCAAGGCACAACCCGCACTGGATGGGGTTTCACCATCAGGAAAGGCGACACTACACAAGAGGTATATCGGGAAAGGGCAGACTTTTCCAAACAGAAGTGGTAGACACTGAAGTCCATGGCGCTCTCCAAGGTCTCGCAGCAGCCAGGGCGATTGGGCGCGAAAAACGGCTGTATGTCTGCCTTGACAACACGTCAGTGGTAGATGGGCTCAATGGAACTCCACCCGAGACATCACAGACCATTTTTCTACGATTCCAAGAACTAGCCACAGCACACACTCCTGGGGTGACCGTCAAGTGGATCCTTAGACACAGAGATACGAAGCTGCTGACGTACTAGCAAAAGAGGGTGCCATGCTAGAAACGGAAGCGACGAACCTTCCTACAATCTCTTAGGTAAAGAGAGATCTCAAGAGGAAAGGCAAGAGAGAATTCGATCAATGGTAGGAAGGTCAATCAGAACCTAGGTATCAAGAAGTATACTCGCACGCCGTAACCAAGAGGAACCTCATATCTTTCGAAAGGAGTACTTTGCACAGACTTCTAGCGGCCAGATCTGGACATAGCGACTTTGCTGGATACCACGAACGTTTCGGGCATACGGACTCGAATGACCACTGCAGCTGCGGTGAAAGGAAAACACCGCAGCATATTTTCTTTTGCGAAAGGCTTAGGAAAAACCAACTGCTGCCCAGGTACTCGCCTAGGGCAGCTTGTTTACAATACTTGGGGGAGAGGAGCGCGGAATGGGCAAGATTCGTTGAGAAGAGCAAGTTCTTCTCATCAATCTGCCCCCGATAGATAGCTGTTCTTGAAGGACCAGATGGATGACCCTAAAGTCATGCCACCGCAACAGCGGGGATGGGCTCGTGAGCGGGTCTGACTGTACTTATTATCTTGAGACCTCCACAACCCTGCGATGCAGAGGCTCTGGGAGGCGTGGTTTGCACTACTGAGGAGCTACCCCCCACGTTAAATACAATCATCATCATCATCATCATCATCATCATAGCCCTGTAGGAAGCCGGAATTTGCTGCGCTGTATATGTTCGGCGATAATACCCTTAATGCCTGGTTACCTGCAACAATAGCGCACAAGCTGGTCCATGATATGCCTTCTTCAATGGCGTGCTGGTGCAGGGCTTGGCAAATACGTGAGACAGAATCAACTGGAAGGCCTGCAACTGTTTGAACCGTACCATCAGCAAGGGTTAGCGACATGCCTAAGAGAAGTCCAACAAAGTCAACAAACGATAAGTTAGCATATATTCCCCCGTTCGAAGTATAAGTAAGTTCTAAGAATCCCCAATCCACGTCGGCGGAGGCGTAATCGGGGTTTGAGACGGTCGGTTCGATCAGATGGAGGGTTCCTGTTTTATCAGTGTGTGCATAAAATTCAAGCTCGGTCGTAGATACCCAAACACGACCAGAGACGAGATAGTCGGGGAGCGTAACTGCTGTATTAGAGATCCCCTTCTTGATCGGTACGGTTATAGACAAAGGGTCAACTCGATGCGAACCTGTCCCTGGCAGAGCCTTGGGCCAGTACCATGTCCCATTTGGGCGCAAGAAAACAATAGACCCCAAGCGATCGCTTCCCGCAACGTATGCAAAGGTCGAGCTCTCGTTCGGACTGGTTTGAAAAGATAATGTTAGTGGCTTAAGCGAAACATTCTCGCTGCGACGAGCTCGATGCGGTGCGGTAGGCGAGATCCTGGGCTCAGAGGTGCTCGTGGCCCGGTAACTAGGTTGAATGCCCGTTACTACTGTGAAAATAACAATATTTGCTAAGAGTCTCTTTGCGAAGGACGATAGATGCATAGCAAATGAAGTTATGCAGCATCAGAGTTAACATCAAGCTGAGGCTTCTTAGGAACACAACCAGCTCTGAAGGACTTCCTTCTGGAGTCGACTCAAGCAATGGGCCAGTTTGAAAAAACCACCACCCCCCAACATGTGCCAGGTCCTGGACCATAAGCTGCGAGATGGCAAGGAAGTCAAAACCTGCGTTAACGTCATGTGTAAATCCAAAAGGGAACATTGACAGGGCTATTTGAAAGTCCAACAACGCTGTTTATATGCTTGGTAGACCGTGGGCACCGGTGATGTGAGCGCCAGGGCCGTAACAGGGGCCGCTTGATTATTAGAAGAGCCCAAGATCAACGATCTAAACTTGGAACGTAAAAGTCGCTTCTAGACGTGCGCGTGAGATTTACGATGCAATGACGCCCCTTCTCGATTGACAATATGCAAGTTCAGCACCAGAAGACGCATGACATTTAGCTACCTACCTAGAGGCATCCACGTTTACATCTATCTCACGCCCGAGAATTACCGACTCGAACCATGGGCGGAACCGAGTGGCTACCTATCATGCTAGAGCCCTTAGCGATCGCACCAGCTTGAACGTGCCTAGAAGCGTCGTCGTAGATCCTATGAGGAGATGACCGTGGAGATCGATGGTATATGAGGAGCATCGCGTGCGAACCAGAGTTGCCAGTCATGCCCGCGCACCTGTATCAGGGGGAGCGTGATGATAGATTCCATTTCCAATGCGTCATCATCAGCATCACCATTACCGCCATCGCCACCAGCCGGCGCCTGTAGTTGCCTCAGCCGCTCGAAGGAGGCCGCGGCCCATATGGTCAGCTGGACGAGCGGGTCCGACGCGGCGTTGGCCACCTTGGTCTCGATAGCCACCGCCTGAGGCCGGGGGCGCACGGGGGCGTACATTGTCGGCGCCAGCGTACAGCAGGCGGGTGGTTGCCGGCGTATGAGGTCCGTCACTAGTGAATGATATCCGGAGGCTAGACAAATGAGTATCGGAAGGCCAAGAAGTCCCCGGTGAGGCCAACCAAGCTTCAGCTTCAACTAAACGCCTTTCCCAAGACCTCTTCTACCTCCGACGCATCGTAACTACTCCATTCGGTTGTCCGATGTGCTTGTAGGAGAAACTCCAACAGCCTGCCTTCAACACGAGCCCGTTCAAGGTCCAGGGGATTGACCGCTCCCGCCTTTCCAATTTCAAGTAAATCTATGTAGAAATCTTTCAGGATCATGGTGTCCTTGGCGTTCAACCGGCCACTCGAGGCATCCAAGCCGAACTTCCGGCGGGCAACTCTGAGCATGTCCGCCTCGTGGCACTGGATGATGGGTGCATGATTGGCATCAGGCCCCAGCTCTAGTAGGTGTCTGAGATGCCACACGAGCGGCCTTGGGCGATCGGGTGGTATTGACAGAAAGGCTTCAAGGTAGGGGAAGTCTTCCAATGCGCCGCGCAGCTGATACCGCTTCATCAGAGCGACGAGCTTCCCTTCCCCGAAGCACGTCCAAAACTCACCAAAGCTGCACGTTTCTTGAGGCCGTCTCTCACTTCGGCGATGTCCCAGAGCATCATTATAATCCTCCATCAGCTTGTTCCCATAGATCAGAGCATGGTACAGCGTACCAAGAAGGCATTGATGGTGCTCGTCACGACAGACGCAGAATCCCAAGTTGAACCACATAGGTGCTAAGTTCGGGTGGGGGTATGCCGCCATTAAAAGAATACTGAAAAACATCAGGCTCTCACGCTTGGTCCAAGGGCTGAGCTCCTTGGTAGGAACTCCTTGGTCTTCGAGGCTGAGGTATCGCTCCCGGGCCATGTCAAGGTGCCGAGAATGCATTTCTGTGAAGCTCACAGTATCACCTGCCTCGGAATTTGGGTTCAGAAGATGCGCCTGCCCTAGGAACCAGGGGTAGTATGCTCCACGATTACCTTGAGGGAGCTCCTCAAATTTCTTGATGATGTTCTCCCTCAAAGTGCCGTCTTCCATCCACGAGTTGATTACCAGCACGTCTACCTCCAGGATATTCAGTAGACCCTGATAAAGCCCCAGAAAGAAACTTCTTTCGTTATAATCTCGGCATTGTTCGAATCCAAACTTTTCGAGCACATCAGGATCATCTGGAATTTCATCCCTCACTGCGGACATGTCGAGGAAGTCTGCAGGTGTCAGGGGTCTCTGATTGCATGCAAGTAGATGGAATGTCGATGCCCTGGTCTCACACCCATAACTATAAAAGTAGCCTTGGCCACAACGCGAGCAGCAACGTGTGGTCTCCCGACAGCAGCCACAGTCACATTCACCCTCAAAGGAGTGACGTGGTATAGCCTGAGAAGCTGTCGGTGACTCAAATAAGACATCATCGTCGCTAGAAGAGCTTAAGAGCTGCTGCTCCAGCTCAACCTCGGTGTTTTTTGCGACGCTGTCTGCTCCGAATCTGTCGTGTCCGAGTTAGCCATGCTCTTGACGATACGTTTGCCCGAGACTTACAGTGTTCGAATGTTGCGCATTCTCTCCTCATCCAAATGCGAACTGATCAAGAGTTGCCTCCATTTCGATGTGTCACCCTTGCCGCCCGGCAATGCAGTTGCACAGGAAGAGCCACCTACTGATGATTGTTTCACTGCAGCAATGTGAGTTTTGCCCCTTTTATCCTTTCTAGCAAGAGATACTAGTTCCTGTTCGACCTGATAAAGTGCCCATGCGATCCGAACAGAAGCGCCGCCAAGGTCGCCGCTTGTCTCAAGGTATGGAACGGTCCATTGGCTGTAGAGAGCGCCATGGGACCCTCGGGTTCGAAAGACAGGGTCATACCGCTTGATAAACTCGTTGCAAAGATAGCAGAACTTCTTGCTACAACCAATGTAGCCATATGTCAGCCAGTTGGGTTCCTGACGGGAGCTTTGTGATGACTTCTGCTGAGCTAGATACATCAGCAGTTGGATCTCAGCATGGATTTGTGGCCCTTCTTTCTGGATCGAGTTGAATCTCGCCGTGGCATCTCCGAGCTTCCATTTCATGCCGATGATGCTCTTGATGTCCCTTCCTCGCGGGAAAAGACTGCAATAGGTGTCCTGAAGCGTCCATGGTTTCGAAGACATGTCGCGACAATCAAGGTCTTTGAGATGGCGCAAACTTTTTGGATTGCAATGAAGCAATACGATCCGCAGTTCCTCAAAACCCTGTAGACGGCTGGCAGCTCGTAGGATTGTAGTGCAAGACGCATCAACGCGTCCGAGATACCCCAGTGACTCGCGAAGTCTGGAGGGCTTGGGGATACCGATCGCATTAAACGCTTCAAGGGGATGAGACTTCCAGACTGTACGCGCAATCTGAGTCACAATCTGGATAGTAGTGAAGTGCCGAAACACATCCTCCGACGAAACCAGCTTCCGCAACACCATCAAGGCGATGATCAGTTCTGTTGACTTTGTGTCAAAGGACGCCGATACCTGGCTCGACGGTGCCGCATTTGCACAGAGGCGTGCCAAATGTTGTTTCAGCTCAGTCAGCCATATATGGAGCCGCTCGCGTTGATACTGGTGGGTATTCAGGTAAAGACGAGCGATCTGTGATTGAGCTAGAGCACCTCTTCTCAGTGTTATGTCGCAGAGACCGATGGGATGTTCTTACCACCATGCGTCGCGATGTGGCGAACCATCAATTCGAGATCCCGGAAGAACATTTCATCGGACGAGTGAAACCCATCATTACGTGCAATGATCATTTTGATCGCTCCGTTTCCCGTCTGCATGACACTCGCGGCAACATCACGACCACCCTTGGCGTTCGACGCAACCTCGGCTACACGATCAAGCAGAGTGTCTTTCAAAGCCTTCTCGTCAAAAAAGGTAATCACGTCGGGGCTGGCGGAGTCCGCGTCATCACTAGGCTCATCTTCCAACGTGTCGTTGTTGTCTGTGCCCGACCTGGCTGACGACTGCTGGACCTGTCCATTGTTCCATAGATGCACCAGAGTAGCGCATGCCCGAAATCGCGCACGGTTGTTCCCCTCCAAGTTCCAATGTGAAATGGCGTTCATTTGGGCCGCTCTTAACCTGGCTGGGGCATTAGGTAGGCCTGAAGGGTCGCGTGATGATGCCGTTGATGGTCAAAGTATCTGCTCTCTTGAGATCGACTAAGCGGATTCGCAGCTCTCTACATAGTTCGAGCATATGAATGTCGCCCAGCGCGCGAGATTGACACTGACGTGGCAGTGTCGGGTGCCTGTCTTGCACCACTTTCGCTTCCGGGACGCGGGGTGGCCGGCCGCATGATGCCTACTCCCGCTCAACGAATGACACGACGCCGTAACGCGGTACACGGCTGTGGGCAAATCATATCCTGTCGCTGATTATGAAGCAGCCACCGGTTCCACCTACGGTGATCTGGTATCTTCTGACACCGTCGAAGAATTCGGCGACTTCAGAATCTTTCGCGTGGGAAGAGCCATCGATCATGGCAAGCCTTGGTCTCAGGGGACATCGCCGCCTACTATCCCACTCCACGATTGAAGGCTGGATCATCAGATGGGAAGTCGCTAGCTGTACCGATTCGAGCTGTATTGCAACGTGAGGTGGTATCATGCATGCTGAGAACAGAGCCATGTTTGGCCGATGGGGGCTCGAGCCGATGAAGAGCCTTCAGAAGTCGCGAAAGCTAGCAAGATAGGGGTGGATTGACTTCGACCATTTTCACTCGGCATCGTCGCGGTGACAAGGTCTGGACCGCACGATATCCGGTTTCCTCATGCCAGTCGTATTACCGGGATGCACGAGGCTCTTCTCTTTTTGCATAGTCGGAGAAGTAAGTTCTCGGGCATAGAATTTGCGTTCCACACTGGCGCTTGCCTCCGTATCAATCAGAACCTTGCCAGTAGTGCGCTAAGCCACATTACCGGCGAAGCCACACTACCGGCGAAGCCACACTACCGGCGAAGCCACACGAAGAATTGCGGTGTGGTGATATAATGCGGGTATTTTAGCAATTATACGTATATCGGAACTGAATAACCGGATTTTTCGGGTATATATAAGGGGTATATAAATATTTAAGTGCTATTAGGCAGACAGTTCTTCTCGGGCCCCGACTGTCACGGCGAGTGGCACCTAAGACGAGACAAAGCCGACGAGAAGGGGGTTGCAATGTCTTTGCTAGCTTGTGGCATGTTAACAAGTAGTCTTAAAGGCGCCCTCACAGGCTTCCACGCTAGCGTAAAGCCTGTAGGTGAAAGGTACGACGTGATATGACAAGCTCTAAACTAGTTCCGTTTAAGTTTACTACTAGACTTCTAGAGAAACGAAATTCGAGAGAAATTCCGAACACTTCTTCAAATACAGCATTCGCAACTTCGAAGATGCCGCCCGCCCATATACCAACAAAGCAGCGTGCGCAGGCGACTCATCTCGCCACAGCGCCTGTTAAACTTCATGGAATGTCAAGTCAAACGAACCTGGACATCCGTACAATCAGACTTATCCTGAAATGTGTTGAGAAATCCTGTCATCCTTCTGTATCTATCCGAGAAGCGCAGCATGGCACTTCAAAAGTGCTGTAAGTTGGTCCGACAAATATGAAGGCACAGCTGACGAGTTGGTGGAGAAGAGCGAGGCAGCATCGAAAAGATTGGGGTTTCTACTCGTCTTCAAGACGGACGAAGAGTATTATCGTGGTATCGCCAATGGTGCGACGCCTTCCAACAGTAAGTCTCACAGAGAAAATCTGTATTACTGTCCTGACTTGTAGTGGCAGTCGAGGGATGGGCGACAATGACCCCAGAGTATGCGCGAGCACTAGCCAAAATCTGGGGTAAGTCTTACAAAGGCAATCCGTATGACCGTTCTAATATGTAACAGACAAGGGGTCAGAGCCGACGCAAGCAGAAGTCGACGCGTATGTTGGCTTCTTACTACCATAACAACGTACCAGGGACCCGAAGGAATGGAAAAAGCTACTTGAGAGTGACTTCGTGCTAGAGGAATAAGAGTACAATATACTGCTCGTTTCCGATATGCACACTATGACCTTACCCCCTTGTCGTCTGCTTTGTCCCGTCTTAGGTGCCACTCGCCGTGACATTAAAATATTCTATGTACATATATACCCCTAGCTTCCCCGTTCTCTTCCGACCTTGCCTCTTCTTCCTTAGATATTGTTGCATCTATGTGACCTGTTCAACCTCGAGCATCGCATCGGAGGACGACAAGGACACGGGAGCACGAGGGACACACGTCCAAAGGCACCACCTATCACGGCTACAGAGTATTGCAACCGCGAATCTGCTGGACGATGCATCCGCTGCGGCAAGAATCCATCGCACAGGTTTGGCGACTGTGACTACACAGGCTTTGCTCACCACCCTCTGGCTGCCATCACCAACGACAGCACGTCATCCGGTTTGTCAAAAGACTAGCCTCTGAGCGAAGTCGAGCTCAGAGGCCAAACACGAATGTTTTCGCAGAGGATCTGTACCAGTCACCGTCACAGGAGCAGATGGAAGCAGCGGAGAAGAGGTTAGACAGCGTTCCGTTTCTCATAGATACGCTGATAGACAACACATTCTATACCTCTGCTCTTTTCGACACGGGCTGCTTGCCCTATGCCGCATTTAGCGAAAGCTTCGTGAACCGAAGACATCTCCCACGCAAACAGATCAGCCAGCGGAAGCTTAAGCTCGCTGCAGACGGCGACGACTCCAAGTTCCGCAGGGACAGGCCAAACCCTACCTGCAACATCAACGACAGGCAGGAGCTGGTCTATGGATATGTCATCCCAGGCCTCCATTACGATATTATTCTTGGCAAGGGATGGTGTGAACGTAATGATGTTCACCACAGAGCCAAAAAGCACCAGCTACGCATCAGACCGCCAAACAACAGAGTAAAAATCCGCGAGAGCGGTTGGATGGATAATCCCCATGTCGTCGAGAGGACCAAGTCGATCAAGACCGCACACCTTGTAATAGCGAGGACCTTCAACGCTGAGATCAAGAGGGCAAAGAGTGACCAAAGCCCCATTTCAATTGGCTCTGCTACTATTAAAGACATCAACAAAGCATTAAAGAAACTAAACAAGAGGAAGGACAAGCCTACGCTCCGCTCACTCAATGAACAACTCCCAGAAGCCCTGCGAGACGAGGCCCAGTATTTCATGGACGATGACAACGGCGTGGTGCCTCCCCACCGAACCGGATGGGATCACGCTATCAATATCGAGGTCGACGACCAAGGGCGACCAAAACGGGTGCCTTACGGACCGCTCTACGACATGTCCAGGAAGGAGCTCCTAGTGTTACGGAAGACACTAACAGACTACCTTGACAAGGGATGGATCAGAGCAAGCGCGTCTCAGCAGGCGCCCCAGTGCTTTTCGCACGCAAGCCAGGCGGTGGTCTGCGCTTCTGCGTCGACTACAGAGCCCTGAACGCCATAACCCAGTCCGACCGGTACCCCTTGCCCTTGATACGAGAAACGCTCCGCCAGCTGACCAAGGCAAAATGTATAATCGCTCGCGGAATGGTGCTGTGAATGGCACCGTGGTGGTCTCAGCACACAAAAAACCGTGTGAATTGCCGGGGATTGGGGCTATTGAGGTCGCGAAAGGTCGTCAAGAACGCGAAAATTCGTGCCCATCAATAGGAACAACAATAAGGTGCAGTAGCGGGAGCGGATAAGGGCTCATAACCTGTTGCACAGCAAGAAGGCCAAAAGGTTGCATATCTGCTGTATTTGTGTTGTTGTTCAAGGTCTGGAGGTGGTGCGCAGCTGCAGTGGATGTGGGCAATATGCCAGCCCAAGTGGGTCACGTGACCACGCAACAGAAGTGAACGGAGTGAACGTGATCGACCGGAGGGAGATAGCGGAGCGGTAGAATGGAATGACGAGGACCGTAGGGGCGGAAGACAACGAGGTGTGGTAATCAAAGTTGAACATAGTATCCAGCTGGGAGCAGTCCTGGGATTTTGAACAAACTGAATGTCAGCGTTTACAACATGTTCGCGTATATACAATGGTTACCGCGTATAATTTCATTCGCCGGTCATAGGAGATCCCGTGGCAGTCAGAGAATTTGAACCTACCGTAGTACCACGTAGGTGAAGAAGGAAAATGTTCGCAGCGGAAAAGGGGGGAAGTGAATATGATACAGTAATACGTCACATCGCACTAGTTGGGAAAACATGATACCTCAGATATGCGGAATTGGGCCAAGGCGCCCAGCTGCCGGTCAATCTTAGAAACCAGCAAAACGTTACAGGCAGAAAGGGGCGAAGTCCACTCAACCTCGAATCATCCGCGTCACCGATTGCCGACTGACGACGACAAACCTCGTATCCCAAGACACGCCTTTTCCAGGGTTAGTCATTACTTTTGGCAGGTGGACGAGAGGAAAGGTGTGACGCCCTGCACAGACCTTCCCACATGATAAGCCGATACCTCCCAATAAGGGAAGGATCTGACTGGAGGATCCCCTTAAAGGGACAGCCTCCAGCTGTACCTAGCTTTCCCTCTCTTCCTTTCCTCCTTAGTCTTGATATTCTCGTCAATAGAGTAATAGCTGCTTGCTGCCGGCCATGTCCCAGCTCTCCAGTACGCTCGCCGTGACAGAAAAGGTTGAAGACCTTACTCCAAGACACCCCGAACGTTTTTGGTGGCCGCGCTGCGCAGTGATAGTAGCTATGACCCCCTGTCAATTCCTCGGGATACGCGTTCATGTTCCGCCCTTTCGGTGCTGGGACCCGTCTCGGCTGGAACACAGCTGGCCATCCTTTGGCCCTAGCCCAAAATTCTGCTGCTGGATGCGCTGGCTGGTGAAGCCACTGGTTGGTCAAGATAGGTTGCAAGGCAAGTCAAGGGGCGGCTAGGAATGGTTGGCTATGAGTGGTCGATAGCACGATGATGATTCTTACGTGGCATGGCGCTCATGATAAGAAACCAGGCGGTTGGAGGCTCAAATGAGGGCACCAGCAGGATGATTCATATACAAACCACAAGGCAGAGGGACTGTTTTGACCTATGGATGCAGACACCTTAGATCCCACGGTTTCGTAAAGGGGGGTCGGTGCCGGCCTTATTACCATTGATACACAGTCATTACCATCGGTCAAACCGCGACATATAGCGCATATACAGCCTCGTCGCGGCTTACGAGAAGTGCGCTGCATCCGTGAACGCCATGGCCAAGCCACCAGCGATCCTGCCTGTGTCCGTGTCGACAACCTTCTAGCTTGATGGATTGAGCTGGCAACCGTAGATTCTTCACGAAATCGAGGGTGCAGCGCAATCTCGCATTCCAATCCACAAGCGCCGCGCGGTATCCTAGGCCACTGTTCGGCCAGACATTCGCACCGCAAGGTCCGGAGGGGTACTAATTCCACCCCCAAAATGCCTTCCTGAAGGAAGAAATGGAGGACCAGATGCTTTCGCCAGTTCGCGTACGTGAGCTTGATCTCATGCTAGCAACGAAGATAACCTATCACGTGTTGCCTAGACGGGCGCCGTCTAGAGAAACAAGCGTAGGACTAACAAGGCGGCGTGTTAGATTTGTTTCTCCAGCAGAGGACTGCGAGGGTGACTACAGGGCGGAAGGAGAGATATCTAAGTTCTTTTCTCCTCCGAGATCATCAAAGGACTCATCTCCTGTTGTATCAAGATATTTCGCTAGCAGTATTTGACCAAGACACTGGCTTAGTTCAAATTGACACTCGCAATTATTTTATATTCACTGTTCTATCTTGATTATCTGCCTCGGGTTGACTTAGTGTAGAGGTAAAAGGAATACTCGAATCGACGTAGTCTATTGGGCTTCGACGCTCCTTAGCCGACTACAACTTGATTGAGAAGGAGAGCAATACACATGGATGGATATTTTAGTCCAAGGCTCTTGGCCAGCCACTCCTGGATCCTCGCCACACCCTGCATATCTCCCTGCTTGATTTCGGCCTTGTTCTCGTCGACCCAAGTGCGGGTAAAGCTGCCGCCAAAAATCTATAAGCCATAGACCTCTTTCCTTGCAGTCGACAAGGACGTTGTACGGCTTGGCGTCACCGCAGACCAAGTCCGCCTCGTGAAGATCTGTGACAAGCTTACAGTACAGACTTGCTCTCTTCTGACAACATAAGGTCTCTTCTCACCATAATACCTCGCAAAGGAATACTTCCGCGGGTTGTGTGTGTAGCGTCATTATTGTTCCAGCTGCTGATAGTGATCTGATTGGCGTTATTATAGGTAGGTGAAGGGAGGTCGTTATCGTTCCAGACTCTCTCGAACGAGCCATTAACTGAGCTGTGTCGGTCTAATGCCCTGCCGACCAAGTTGGCCCCATCCGCCGTTGCTGCCGTTAGCGCATTGGTGGTGCTCTTAAGTGCGTTGCCGTAGCGTATGTTACGAACCAACAATGCCACGGCCCGTTGGCAGGCCTGAAGAAGAGGGGGCCTACGAAAGAGACCAATCGGAACAAGGATGCCACACAGAAGGAACCCAAGGCACCAGATCACGTGATCCATGGAATAGGAATCACGTGACCAGACTTTGCTCACCCTTGCTCGCGCGAGCAACGGTGAGCAAAGGGCGTGAATGCGCAATATGTCGCGAAAACAATAAAGAGCCGGTCGCATTTAGTAATTGCGGTATGTGAGGGCTCTATTCGCGCGAATATATATTACTAACACTGGCCAGGACATGTATTCTGTCGGTCGTGTCTGCCCCAATGGCAGGTGGACAATCCTCTGCGTTCTTCCTCCTCTTGTCCGAGTTTCCAAAAAATTGTGACGCTGCTTATTGCCCTCCACTTCACGCCAAGATTACCAAGAGAGTCATTTTGAGCCACGGGTCTTGCTCAGGTAGACTTCCGTAGTAGATGACTGTTTAGTAACAGAAGAATCTCAAGGAGGCTGAGGGTATGGCGGCCATGGCCGAGACCTATCATAAGATGAGCCACGCCTTCGGCGGCCCGGCCGGTCTCCTGCAGTACATGATGATCGAGAAGGGCACGTTCGTCGAGCTTTCTAAGGCCAATGCCACGGCCGTCAGCGGCATGCAACCCAAGATCAGTGTCTGGAACACCGGTGCCGAGGCTGGGTCGGGAGCCGGTGGAAGTGGCAGCGGCTCGGTTCAGGACAGCACCGCTACAATGCGGAACGTCTACCAGCTTCTGCCGCCCCTGATGTCCACGATCCAGAACCAGACTGGCATCACGCTGCAGTTTGGGCGTATGCCAGATAACGAGGTCACTAGACGGGAGAAGCAGCAGCCCAATGGTAAGGGCAAGCCTCATGGCGAATAGATCTGAGGATCTCCCCATGGTGACATTTGATAGGTTCACGGTCATCGATAGTGTAGCATGCTGGTGACAAGACACGGCCTGATGCGCATACAGGGGGGGGGATGTGTGGCGAGGGTTTGTATCGAGCCTTTGGAGTGGGGGCGGGCTCGTTCCGCGGCTCCGTCTGAGCCGCAATGAACTGTACCCCTGTCATGCGATAGTGGACTCTGCGGCATGGTGTCTGCTGCCTGGAACTGAACAGGCTCTCCGCCGTTAGCCTGCCAGTCTACGCTGTTCTCGGCTCGGGGTTTCGTGTCGATCTTGACCCACCGTACAATTGGGGCAGGGTGTGTCAGTCGTCGCAGCCAAGGGGCTCGAGGGGGTGTGTGACGACTTCAGCGCGGACGAGCGATTGGCCTATAGCGAGCAAAATTGCGACCTCGGCGGCTCGCCACACGAACTGCCCCGCAACAAGTTGGCCAATCTTTTGTGGCCGCTCCATTTTCCTCTGCCTGGAGCGAATAGGAGGCCAAGATCCCAACGACCCCACACACACGGTAGCTGCGGGAGCTGCCCGACAGCCAATCTTTAGCCGCCCCCACGTCCTGATGCCTAAAGGAGTGGATTTTTGTGACGCCGAGTCCCAAATCACCTCGACCCAAACAACTCTTTTGCAACTGCTTTTGATGAAACGAACGGCATTGCTGCTCGCAGCAGGCCTTTTCCGTCGGCCAGCCTGAGCGCTGATAGAAATCTCACCTCCTCCGCGTGCGTCAGCTTGCTCCTCGCCATGAACAGCGGAGTTTCCAAAGCGCGGACCCGCCGCTCCCGTGTGCAACTGTCCAAGGCTTTGCAAGAAACGCTGCTGGACGCTGTTGCAAATGACACTGCGGGAAGACTTGTTAATCCATCAGGTACAGAGCTTCCGCAGAGCTACCGAGAGCAGTCTCCAGGGAGCGGAGATCCCGCCGGAGACACGATACCCACGCAGGCTCGAAAGAGGCGACTCGACACGACAGAGAGTAATCCGTCGCCCGCGAATAGAGCCCGATTGACAAGGCCGGACACGCAGCAACCTGGCGTCGATGACGAGAAAGCAGAGCAGGCTGGCAAGGTATGACAACGATCGCCCACACACGTCCACAACTAATGGGGCAGCTCGTGCAGACAACTCTACAACAGCCAAAGCCCAACCCTCCCAAGCATCCATACGCTTCGTTCCTCAAGGACTTTGTCGAACCCGTCCATCCGGCCGCCGGTCCCGCATCTATCCACAACTTTGTTTCCGAGTGGCTCGAGTCCGTCGGATCGGACCGAGAGAAACAGAGCCGGTCGGATAGCCATCTGCACCATTTGGACGACGTCCCCATTTCGAGACAGCTTGCAAGATCAGCGCCAGAGATGGGCCACACACGGGACGCCGATAGGTTTATGTTGCCGCCGACACCAGCTTCTACTAGATCCCGCCGTTCATACCAGGCAACAGAGGATTCTGCCTCTAGCACTGCCAGCGTTCGCCATCCGTCCTATCGTCAGAACAACCTGAACTCGAATGGCATTGATATTAGGCATGCCAATACTCAGCTTCCTGGTCATATCTCCAGTCATGTCGAGACATTACGAGCAGAGCGGGATTCTCCGAGTCCGTCCGAACAAATCAGCGGATATCTTGACAGGATGGAAGATCTGCAAAGGGGATGCACTGAGGCGGATGTGGAAGAATTCTTCACAGATACAGTGTTTCCAAAAAACTGGGACCTCGCCTACGGACGCTCGGCAGGCTTGGAAAGTGCCAAGTCATCCTTAATGTCTTCTCATCTCATTCCCAACAACCCTGAAAGCCAGTTTAAGGTTTCTGGGCCGAAACCTGATCTACTCTACGGATACTCCGGCGCTCTCAGGGATAGGGCCTTCACCCAGCCACAATTCTTAGCCCAAGAGGCTCTACATCCTCGAAATGCACGGTTTGGGGAAGCGACAGCACAAGGGCTTAGGTTTCCCTTCTTCGCCATCGAATTCAAAGCTGCCGGAGGCACTCGAGGCGACCTCTGGGTTGCTACAAATCAGTGCGCAGGTGCTTCATCAGCGTGTCTGGAAGCCGTCAACCAATTGAATACCTCGTTGCCGAATCACCCGAGCGTGCAACGTATCGACAATTTATCCTATTGCATTGCCATGGACAATAATACCGCCCAGCTCTATGTATCGTGGAAGGAAGATGATTTGAACTATTCCCTCCAACGGGTTAATGCTTTCCTGCTATCAGACCCAGAGCATTTTAAGAACTTTCGCAAACACGTTCGAAACATTCTCGATTGGGGAAAGGACACACATCTGGCGCAGATTAGGGATGCATTGGACACCATCCTTGAGGAAAACAGGAATAAGGCTGCAGGACATGCGAAGTCCCGCCAACCACCATCCCATGGTTCTGCCACCACTACTAGCAAGAAGCGCAAATCTTCAACGTCGCGCAGAAGCAGCAGCAGATCCAACAGCGTGCAGGGACCAAGCGGCGGGGCAAGTGAAGGGTATTTGGGATGGGATGAGACAACCTCGCAACACGCCCATGCGGAGCTATCTTACCCAGCTCAGAAGCTGCAAAGCTTCGTTGTTGATGGCGACTACACTACACCCCAAGATACCGACGGGGGACTGGTTCCCCCCGAGTATTACTACCCAGAGGACGAGCAGCAAGACCACGGTCCGGCACTTGCGTCGTTTGGCTTGGTCGCAGAACCACTAGCAAGCTTCATGACGGATTTATCAACCGAAGAGCAGCCGACGGCGGCCCCAGATGGTTACTGGACTTGAGTGACAGTCGCAGGGAGTGGTAAGTCACGTAGTCGAGATTGGTTCAATACTGAAGTTTCCTGCTTCCATTATCAAGGAGTGTGCTAGCTAGGTAGAGACTGTTCTATAAAGGACTGGCAGGTCCTGCCTTTGGGTCGAACTATCTCACTGCTTGGCCATCTTGGAATGCTGCTAAATGCAGTGTTATGTCATGATTGAATCCCTCAATGGAATCGTCTATTTCCATTTCTTCCGGCCCAAATGCGGATGATGTAATTTCTCGACCGCTTGTCTACCTGTATATCTTTATGACCGATGTCTAACGCCGCGCTCCATGTCGCTTGCTGTTCATGTAGTAAACATTCTCGAAACCGTCCGAAGAGTGCCATCAGTCTTGGTGGTTCTCGTCCTCGTGTACCAGCGAGGGATCCTGGCCTGTGTTCGGCAATCTGACGAACAGCAGCAGCTTTGCCGCAACAGAAATACACCGCATAGGCTTAGGTTTCTCGATCTGACGACAATGGGTCAGCAACTCGCAACATTGTGGGCTGATAACTGGCAGCTACCGGCCAGCAGCGAAACTCATCTGGGGGCCTGGGTGGGTTATGAATCCAGGACTGATCAATGTCTCGTCCAATGTCAGTCAACTGCTGGCAAAGAGAACATGACGATTGGTATCACCATACTCCTCGAGGAGTGCCTACTGCCGGCAATGATGAAATAACCTAGCAGCGGGTATTGGCATGAAGGCTGGTCATGGCATAGGTTCCGAGGCAAGTCAAGAAGCAGCTAGGAATGCGTGGTCATGACTAGTTGATAGCACCATAATGATCCAGCTGCGAGCCATCTTGGGTCTCTTTCTTTCTGTGAGTCTGCTTGTACTTGTCTCCGGCCTGGACACCATTCTACGAACACACACCAATCTATTGACGATGACATGACAACCTGCTGGGTAGCAGGGACTCGTTTCGTATCAGCAGTACTCGAATGGTCCTGATGGACAGGACCATTTGCTGGCTACGACCCCTCCAATAATACTAGAGGTCTCAATAGCCTCTTCCATTCTTCCATGACCTCTTTCTTCGAAGCTATGAGTGTCGCACCCTCATGATAGATAGATTCGGTGCATTCGGTGCATTTGGTGGCCCGGTCGCGGAACCAGTCTTCGATACACTCGAGCTCCATGACACACTCTCGCCATTTGTAAAATGCGTAATCCAGCCAGTCGTCGTAATCCTCCGTACCGCCGTAATTCTTGAGCTTCTCGACGAACTTCATGCCGTCCTCGAGGTGACATAAGTCACTGAACTCGAAACACACATCGCAGTAGCTAAACCTCATCCTTTGGTCGTCGCCACAGAAGTAGGTTACGGGACCTAGCAGATCGTTAAACATTTGGTTGGCGATATACCTGGTCGGTGCTCGTGCTCCGAAATCTCTTGCCCAGAAAGCCAGGTTTACCCCTGTATCGTAGCAATCATCCTCCCGTGAATAGTTCCCCCCACGGGAGAACTCCAAGAGCTTCTTTGCCAGCACAGAGCGCAATTCACTTATCGCAGGTAGCAAAGCCTCGTTCGTGACTCGATAGTTTCGAAGGTCTAAACCTCGGTCGATCAGAGTTTGCACAGAAACCCTGTGCTCAACGTAATGTTCTGGGATCTCCCATTCGAATACTATCTCATACGTGAACTTGGCTTCGTCCCCGTGTCCTGCCGCTAGGTCCAATGCTTTGTGGAAGACCACACCGTCGGCTGTTTCTTCGGGGAGGCGGATTATAGCGATCCAAATCTGGTCGGCCGGCTCGTTGTCTCGGTAGTGCTTGTTGAAAGCGCGGCGTAGAGTGTCGATGACTCGTCGACTCACTGACACTAGTGATGTGGGAACCCTGTTGTTGAGATCCCGGTGCCGGTCGAATTCCCTGTGGATGGCGATTGGCGGCGTGTGTCGGGGACGGGGACCCCGCCCACTGACAAGAGCTCCTGCCGAAGTATTCGAGTACGCGCGGAAGGCGTACTCCCGGCGACTTGTTGTCATCTTGAGTCTTCGGCTATGGTTGAAAAGTTGTGGAGCTATGCATGAAGCAGGACATCGACCATATCAGCTCCCATGGGCGTAGGGTTGCTGAAGTGGTAAGTTCAAATGGTCTGGTGATTCCGGGAAGCTGGCAGGACTATGCAAACCCCGCACAGCGAGGCTGATTCGCAAGGCTCCCTCGTAAAGGGACGGTCCAATAGAGATGGCAGAGTGAGGCGACCTGAGTGAACCACGTGTGTTGTGTTGCATTAGGTAGGGAATCACACCTTACGGGCTTGCTTTACTGTGAGGTCATCTGGGATGCTGATGATCGCACCAAAGGATTCATGCAATCGGTCGTCGCCGTAGCCGGCCAAGACAGATACCATTGTCATGGCAGACATTGGGTCGACGCTCCACCCCTTGCCCCCCACAGAATGCAACAACTAGGACGATGTCGATCACTTCCTTCGTCTGGGTGAAGTTCCTCTACTCTGTCTTTCGAGTGTCGCATTACGCTTACTTGACGATGACCAAAAATTTGGAGCACGAGCAGAAAATGGGTCCGAGTTGTTGTCTAGATGTGGTCGAAGACCACAATGGGTAGAATGCGATACAGGGCAGTTCCGGCTCATGATCCAGTTCCCGCCCACGGTCCAATTTCTGCTCATAAGTATGCTTATGTTTATAGCCCCCAGTTAGTGTCTAGCTTGGGCGTTCTTCTGTCTATTAAGGATCATAAATGGCTTCAGGTTCTCGAAGCTACTACGTATGATTATGCCATTATTTGTCCTTTGTCACGCCAGAATAGGAACTATACCTCAGTCGACCTTAAAATGAGCCAGGAGTGTGCTTCAGTATCCGCCCACAGTCCAGTTTCCGCCCACGGTCCAGTTTCTGTCCACGGCCTAGTGTCTTCTCAAGATCTAGTCCCTGCCAATATTCCAAGAGCTTCACAACAGGTCTGTTCGTGGACACAAGATCATAAGTTGAAGATGATATATTGACACGCATAAGACGGACGCAAACCTGTCCCTTGGATATAAAGCGGTCCACATGATAAGCGTGGTCTTCCCATATCACACTCCTGTCCTTTATTCAAATGATGTCCGACTAAATCCGCCTGCAGATACTGTCATTAACCCCAGAATACTCTACGTGTCATAACTTCGCGCTTAATATGGATGCCGTACTCGTATACGCCATTTGCTGGGGTGGCATATTTGTCCTGCTCTTCGTAGCAAAACTGGTCACTTATTGCAAGAAAATCGCAATGCATCTTGCTATTCAAGGATTCAAGATGCTTGGCCATAGGGTTGTCCTCGCCCGTTATCGATTTGTTGGTCCGCTAGCCGTCTTAGAACTTGCTGCGTACGCGGTTTATATCACCGCAAATTTGTTTTACCTCTCATTTAAAGCCTCGTCGGTTTCTACAGCAGCTCGAAACGCTGGGACACTTAGCCTTTTGAACAGCCTGCCGCTACTTCTCGGTCTGAATCAAGGGGTTCTGGCTGATCTTTTCGGTGTACCTTTACGAGTATTTCTCCAAGCACACCAATCTTTGGGGCTCATGTCCTTCACCCTTCTCGTCTTTCATATTATTGCTTTCATAGCGAGCGGGGGGCAATTCTCGATAGCGCAAGAGCTTTATACCTTAATAGTAATCCTGTATCCCTCGTATTGTGAACGACGTAAGCTAACAACACTATAGGGCGCTCTGTCACTCATCCTTTTAGTCTGCATTTCTGTACCTGTAGTGCGAAGAAACTGATTTCAGATATTCCTACGAGTGCACGAGTTGCTAGCTATCATATTCGCAGTTGGTATTTACTAGCACATCTCAGTATCTAGTAGCCTTCCGCGATGGTGCATTTATGGATACATAACAATCCCAGCAAGCATACTCGCACTGTATCTCGGTCATATCATCTATCGAAACAAGTAATGGGGGAGGCCTTTTACCCGAGCTGTCCTTGGAGACTCATACGGGTCTGTAAGTGTCCGCGTCCACCTTTCTCGGCCGTTGAAACTCGACGCGGGGCAGTATGTTCTGTTCTGGATGCCAGTTGGCTTTTGTTACCTCTTCCAGACCCATCCGTTTGTCGTGACCTCGTGGGCGGAAGTCAGACAGGAGACCATAGAGCTCTTTATCTAGCCCCGCCGTGGGTTCACCCTACGTCTCTTCCGCCGCTCGCAGCAAGGCGAAATTGGCAAAATCTCACGTCGAGCTTTAATCAGTGGTCCTCATGATAAGAGCGCACCTGTCTGGGACTACGCGTCGGTCTTGATGATAGCGACTGGTTCTGGGATAGCCTCGATGCTTCCGTACCTTACTAAGATCATTCACGGCTATCACGCCGGGAGGGGGCGCACTCGGCGTGTACACCTGGTTTGGCAAGCGCAGGACTTAGGTAAGATGGCTCTTCTGTATACTAATCTTGGCTAACGGAGCTACTGAAACTAAACTCTTTCAACGCAGTGAGTCTTTTGCTCAATAGCGCACTGGATGATGATAGCTTAAGACGCGGTAATGTACGACGTCTAAGTTTTCTGACTTACTCATTAGCAACATGGGTTAATCAGTGGGTAGATTCTCCGCATATGCATCTATTGTGAGGAAGGTCCGACTCAGTTATCCTTTGGACGCCGTGCAAGTTTCTATAATGGCACTCCAAGCTACGGAAGTATCATTGAAAAGGAAATACACAGTGATCTCGAAGTGGAGGAGAGGCAGGCAGACCAGAGCGCTGTGGACTCCACATCGGTCGTGAGGCGCAGGTTCAAGAAGCAAAAGGTGGATCTTCTGGTGCTCCGTACGTGATTATTGCAGAGCAAGGTTCAAAGCTAATAGTGAACAGTTTCGGCCACGGACACGGTCCGAGATGAGACGAAGCACCACATTTACAAGTGGGCGGCAATGGATGTCAAGGTGCGTGATTTGGAGTACCAGCCAGAATAGACGCCCACCTTGCAAACGTCGTCGTCAGTGAGTGTACCACCTGGACGGTGACGAACGAGTGGCACGGTATCTGGCGCAAGAATTACTTTCCAGATGCGCGAGACGAGCACTCAACAGGCGGCTATGTCGTTTTATAATGTGCCAGGGCTCACCGGGACCGCAATATCGTAAATGCGGAAATGCGTGGCATATACGACAGCAAAAATGTCCGCCTGGAGAGTACAGTTCCTGGGGCCTTGGCCTCCGCCCAGCACTTCTTTTATCGACTTGGGTTGTCTCCCTGCTCAGTGGCTGGGTGATCATACCGACATTGGTACTTACGTGGAGGCTCTCTCCAGTGAGCTCTGGAGAGTATGTCCGATGCGAGTTTCCTGATATGCGCAAGTGGTATTCGTTTTAACCGATTTATGCTTCGCGAGAGAAGGATACTGGCCAGCAGCACGGCGGCAGATGGCTGTTCGCTGCCGTTCCAAGAAAGTCTCATCAGGGGTTCACGTGAGGGCCACGTTGATCCTGTTAGCAGCGCGCGGCGCTCCATGGACTGGTTTAGAACGGACCCCCGGACACTAATTCCAACCACCCAATCCAGTAACTGCGGCGTCCTCGATGTGAAAGCTTTGGGAATGTAATAGGGTCATGCCAAGACGGACGATAACAACACTATGAAATGCAGCCAAGGACCAAGCCCCAACCGCCCCCTCGAGCCTACATGTGGATATATTAGTGGGTGCCAAGACACGCCCTAGACGCGCCCAGAGTTGCCTGCTATGCATCCAAGAACCCCGGGGCTGCTATACCTGACGAGCCAGCTAGACGACGGCCGCACTACACCATCAACAAGCACAGTTCCTGCTGCAACGACCATAGCACCACCACCACCACTGCTAACAGCCCAGCCCGACACGAGTTACCCGTGTTCAAACAAGTCGCAAGCAGCACGTAGTCACAGCCAGTGCACCGCCACTACTACTACCGGGACACGAGCAACGCTATATCGACGAGCAGGCACGAAAGCCACTATGGGAGACCTACCACCACCGCAGCACCAGTCGCCCAACCGAGTCCGAAAGCCGCGCCGGTCGCCCAACCGGGCCAGAAAGAAGCGCCAGCAGGCAGGTACGCACAAAAAATCGAAAGCGGCTAGAACTATTAGCAAATATTGCCCGCAGGTGGATGGTGAGCTTACAAAACCGCGTTTCAGAGGTGAGTCATGACTACCACAGGTGATACGTCCATATAGCTCTCCTGCAGGTGACAGTGCAACCATTGGAGGAGTCCTTGGTCCATGGTTCAATGCGTATAGCTGCTGGTCAAGGGTGGGATCCACGCGCATGTGGGCTTTAAAAATTGTGACAAAGCGCAGAGTACTTATACATCACGGAAAAAATTAGTCTCTAGCTGCGCGTACTACAAGGCATCAATTCTGTCCCTATTGGAAACTGGACTAGAGTGTGTTCCAAAACGCCTATTTTGTCTATTGAGGGTTATAAATGGCTTTAGGCTTAAAGTTACTCTCCATTATTTGTCCTTTGTTACGCTAGAATAGGAGCTATATCTCTCTGGTGCCCTGAACGGGTTAAAGGTGGCTCTAGGTCGACTAAATACATGAAAGAACATAAAAGGTAGAGAGAAACGCATGCGTATCCACACGGGCCGTTCCATACCGAAAAGGGACGAGCTTTTTATCACTGGGTACAATGTTCGCTGCCGAAACGATATTCAACCTATGCCTGATTATTTCGGGTGCTTGTTGTCGCTCTCATGTTGGGCTTGCAGAGCGCATTGAGCATGGGAGCCAATGCAGGACGTCATGCGTGAATAGGTTGGTAATATTATTAAAGACATTCATTGGGCATTGGTGGTTCGCATTCTAGCAACGTCTAGGCTGCCATGCGCACCAGACGAACGAGGCAAACGAGCAAATCCCACTCACTAGTCTGCTCCCGCTGTTGCCCTGTCATACTGCAACCAACCACCAGCCCCGTACGTCGCAGTGGGATCCGAGATGATACGCCAACATTCCTTCTTGGACAATTCTTCGGCCGCTGGCCTGACTCCTGACCCTACTGGGTGACCCTTCGGCTGCCCTCCATCCGCGCGCTCACCACGCGTCATTTTGCTATTCGGCAGATGCGGGTCGCCTGTGTCATTCTGCCTCTTCATATTCAGCATGCTGCCGCTCCAAGATTGCCTGACCATTTCCGCTCAGTGTTCCACGTCGTCGCAATGGCAGTAGAGACACTAACCCAACCATCCGAGTGCGGCGAAACGAGTCTGTCTGAACAGCACGAGTCCGTCGTCGCGTATGTGTCCGATTTCTTTACAACCACCGTTCCCTCTCATACCTCCACGCACCCACCCGCCTCGCAGATTGAGGAGGTGATCGAGTGGTGTGCTTACTAACCCCGGTGACCAGCGTCGCCATACGCGCCGGTGCCTTACACATGACTTTGGTGTTTATGGTGGTGGCTCGTGTACACAGGCGACGCAGAAGCATCGCCATACCCATTCGCGACTGCCGAGTCCCACCGCTGGCTATGCGGTGCCAGGCCGTAGTGATGTGTCGAGTGCTGTCTCGCGTCTGCCTGCCCGTAGGAAGGTATGCCAGGAATCATGATCCCTGCCTGCGGTGAATGGGTCTTGAGACTCGGGGAGAGGATACGTCCGGCGTAGGCCGCCCAGCTAGGGGGAGCGCCTGAAAGCGAGCGCGGCGATGCCGTCGTGTGCGAGTCGTTGTGAGAGTACCCTCCGCCGTCGGATACTGTTGGGGTATGGGGCATTGCATAGAGTCCTGGGCTTGTTCTGTTGAGAGGTGTGAGCATGGTCGGTCCCGGGCCTGAAGGGAGCTGCGAAGCAGGCGATGCGGACTAGAGTCTTGTCTGTCAGTCTCGTTGCACCACACTTTTTGATACTACTTCCAAGCTGGGACATGGGCTACAAACCACTCGATTGCAAGATGTAAGAAAGAGAAAGAAAAGATGGCCAGGATGGGGACTTTACTCATGTATTTTGATATAATCTTGAGCACCCCAGCCAGTATTTTCTAAGGAAACACCTTGACGTCCCTCTCGATATTGCGCGGCTTCGGATTTGGAAATGCCATGATGATCTTGAACACCTCTTCACTGTCCGCCTTGGCCTTACTCACCGTCAGGGGCCGGAATCCCTCCAGGTTGCGCCGTATCCGGTTCTTCTCTTCCACCATGAACCTCGCGGGAGACGCCACGAGCTGCTCTAACAGCAAGATGGTGTCGACACTGGTCACATAACACTCGTTCTTCTCGGCCCAGTATATGCAGCTAATGCAGATGCTGTTCGGTGGCTCTCACTGACGGTGACGGGCTTGAAGCTTGTTGACAGTATTGAGCCCTGCTGCTTCTTGTTGAACATGACTATGCGCCTTTGGTTCTCCCACTCCTCCTGTGTCCAGTTGCTTGCCATCGCCTCCAGGTCGCCGTTGATCTTGAGGTTCGCCTTGGCCGAGTACATGGCGTACGGGTTCATCTGCGCGGGACTGGAGGATCCGGACGTCTGTATTGTGCAGGTCTGGATCAGCTGCGGTGCACTCGACGTCGGCATGGGCAGAGTCGTGATGCTTGGGCGCGTTATCACTGCGTGGTGAATGGCAGTGGGACTGCGAGGCGTTATGGACGACCCGTAGGAACTCCATGACGGAGCTTTGAGCAGTGGTGGTCGCAGGTAGTCGGCCGCGTACGACGAGGGGTGGCAGGGGCCGATCATGCTGTCATTGCTGGTATAGCCTGTATCATAACTTGACGCGACAGCCTGATGGGCCGCAGGAGGGTAGCCGTAGCTAATTGTAGCAGGTTCGGTGAGCTGGTCGGGCTCCGGCTTGGGTGGGCTCGGTCTTTGCTCAGGTGATTTTGACGCGCGTGACACCCTCATGCGGACCCTCGGCCGCATTATCAGACTGTTACGCAGCGAACTGCTCTGATGAATATTGATACTGAAAATCTTGGTACGATCTCGATGAATCAAATGCTGGAGATCGCGGGGTGGTCAGTTGGAATTCGACCAAGCGGCGACCAGCATCTGGGGCGGATGCGGCTTTGGGTATGCCGACATAGACAGGAGACCAGGCGGAGAATCCCCACGAAGGTCTCCGCCGTTCGCTCTCGCCGCAGCCTCTTCCTCGTATCGGGGGGTCACCGTCTTCGGTGAGTCGAGCGCGTCAGCGTCGACGATAATGGGCCTCTGAGGATGGTAACGAGGCTGTCATCCCTCGTCAGCAGGCTTCCCGAAAAGGTAGTCGAGATGATATGGAATGTTCGCAGCTGTGTCAGCCGGAAGAATCATTCTCAGGAGATATCTAAGCCTCATTGTGGCACCGCCGAGAATTGCGACTTTATGCATTACCTTCTACCGGTCCAATTAGCCCTTCCATCAACCGCTTGGTACATCCCTCCGTTAGTATTTCTGGCAATGTCCTGCCATAGTACAGCGTACTGCAGTGATTCTAATGTAAGCTGATGTTTGTTTGTTTGTTTTGTATTTAACGTGGGGGTAGCTCCTCAGTAGTGCAAACCACGCCTCCCAGAGCCTCTGCATCGCAGGGTTGTGGAGGTCTCAAGATAATAAGTACAGTCAGTCCCGCTCACGGGCCCATCCCCGTTGTTGCGGCGGTATGACCTTGGGGTCATCCATCTGGTCCTTCAAGGAAGGCTATCTATCGGGGGCAGATTGTTGAAAAGAACTTGCTCTTCTCCACGAATTTTGCCCATTCTGTGCTCCTCTCCCCTAAGTATTGTAAACAAGCTGCCCTAGGCGAATGCCTAGGCAGTAGCCGATTTTTCCCCAGCCTCTTACAAAAGAAAATGTGTTGTGGTGTTTTCTTCTCACCACAGCTGCAGTGATCATTTGAATCTGTGTGCCCAAAGCGTTCATGGTATCTGGCAAAGTCGCCATGTCCAGATCTGGCCGCTAGAAGTCTGTGTAAAGTACTCCTCTTAAAAGATATAAGGTCTCTTTCAGTTACTGCATGTGAGTATACTTCTTGATACCTAGATTCTGATTGGTCTTTCCACCATTGGTTGAACTCTTTCTTGCCCTGTCTTTTGAGATCTCTCTTGACCCAAGAGATTGTAGGAAGATTTGTTGTGTCTGTTTCCAGCATGGCACCCTCTTTTGCTAGTGTGTCGGCAGCTTCGTTGCCATCAATATCTCTGTGTCCAGGAATCCATTTGACGGTCACTCCAGGAGTGTGTGCTGTGGCAAGTTCTTGAAATCGTAGAAAAATGTTTTGTGATGTCTCGGGTGGAGTCCCATTGAGCCCATCTACCACTGACGTGTTGTCCAGGCAGACATATAGCTGTTTTCCGTGTCCAATTGCCCTGGCTGCTGCAAGACCTTGGAGAGCACCATGGACTTCAGCATCTACTACTTCTGCTTGTAGAAGTCTGCCCCTTCCCCGGTATACTTCTTGTGTAGTGCCGCCTTTCCTGATGGTATAACCCCATCCAGTGCGGATTGTGCCTTGGTCATCCAACTGTGATCCATCTGAGTAGATGACAAGGTCAGTGTTCACGTTTCTCTCTTGTAACCATTGCTTGAAGAGCTCTGTTTCTTTGTCTTTGTCTTTGCGGATTGGGCGCTTCCTCCATGATGGCCTGGTAAGTATTGGTCTCTGGAAGTCAGGGACTAGCTGGAAGCTTCTTTGTAGCCTTGTTGGATCCTTGCGAGCTTGTATTTGGAGCCTGCCAACCAGAGGGTGTCTCTGATCTATTCGTCCTAGTCGGAGGCCGTGACGTCGTCTTATTGACTCTGCAAGAACTCCTGCTGGGGGAATCTGCGATTCAAAGTGTAAGATATGTCCAGGGTGTGTTTTCCAGACTGGCAAGATAGCCCTGATCGCCGTTCGTAGTACGGCATCTATTGTTCCAAGAAGCCCCTTAATGCGACATGCTGATGTCTCACCTAAGCTCCCAGTTTTCTCGATTCCTGGGTACCAGGCCTCCAGGCAATGTAAGCTGATGAGATGTCCGCTTCGGCTTCATATCAGCACAAGACCTAGAAACTTCATGGAAGAACTCGTCCGTATCAGAAGCGCTAGAAACTATTGGCCGGAGAGGCTGTGATAAGACGTTATGCTTATAGATATATTTCGAATCTTCGAAGCCGTATCGTGGATCTAGAACTAGATTCCGTTGGCAATGCATTACTACAAGAACTGTCCAACCTTGGCAGGAGGCTTTATTTGTTACAACGCGTATAAGACAACCGTTGCGCCATGAGGCAAAAGCTTTAATCGTCCGAATTTAGCACTGCTCTAGATCTTGAGTTCTAACACGGGCGTCTGCTCCGAGTCTACAAGCCCACTGTTGATTGCACCATTCCCGCGCGGTCGGTTTACGAGGATGGAAAGGTTCATTTACATATGCTGGAGCTTTATCTAGACGCGGGTTCGGATTTGGATGCAGAAGAGTCGCTAGCCTTTCATAGCGTGTAAGTAATCGCACAATTCTTCATCATATGCCAAAAGCAGGGCAGCTCTGACATGCGCCACTGCTAGAACGTTTGGTTAAAACCGTTAGATCTAAGGTGTCTGTACGAGATGGTCCAGTTATGGCTTTTTGCAAAGGTTAGAGAATGGCCTTAGCGTAAGTCTTACTGGAATCGCTAAAAGTGAAGTTTATTCAAGGTACATATGTGGCGCACCACTCTAGAAGGAGGGACCTAGCAGCTCACAAATTTTACAAAGGAAGCGTATAATTATATGATCTACAGGCATCAAGGTTCCAGTGACCAGCATTGACGCGCTTTGCACATTGTAAAGTCCATATATGCGATACTGTCCATTGGGTGTTGAGACGCCTTCGTGCTCTTGAATGGCATCGCTACGAACGGGGGTGTCGCCAGATACCGGTGCGGGATCAGCCCATGAGGTTGTGGGCCACACGAAAGGATACGGGCCTGCCGGAATCACTCCCAATCAATCGGAACTGCGCAGAGCGAGAGATAGAAGCAGAGAAAATCTCAAGAAGAGATGGAAGACTTTAGTCCGGACTGGATCGCAGCTCCGCCTCGACCACGGCGCATCTGTGTACTTCTCTATATCGGTGCCTCATAAAGGCAAACACTACGTGTTTCGAACAAACCCCAATATGGTACCGCTATTAAACAAGGATATGGTATGTATCAGAAACTTCGTGTGGCATACGAACTAATAATTTGGTAGGATAAATACTACCCGCCTCCTGTTGTTAATGACTGGTGTAGAGGGAATGACGAGAAGGAAGAAGGATCAGCAAGAGGCATCAAGCGATTCCTCTCCAAATATTACGGCGCCAACGAGGAAGACCTGAGGTGGAAGACAGTCGACTGGTTTCGCAAGAGTTGGGTGGAAGAATACGTGCAGAGTGTGGGGTTGACGGTTCGAGCACAGCCAGGTTCGTCAAGAACGGGATCGCGTATATGGTACATATGCCGTACAAACTTCTAAGAGATTCGACGGGCGAGAAAGAGGAGGACAGATATGTACAAGTATTGGACCTTGTGTGTTGCCGAGCAAGGCCGAGGCCACCCATATCACAGACCCTGGCAGCAGCTTGGCCACGTCTTCCCAATGCATCGTAATTGTCAGGGTGGATGCAAACGCCGTCTTGAACTAAGCAATACATGTAACGGCTGCAGAAACAGCGGGGATGGGCTCGTGAGCGGATCTGACTGTACGTATTATCTTGATACCTCCACAACCCTGCGATGCGGAGGCTCTGGGAGGCGTGGTTTGCACTACTGAGGAGCGATTCCCCACGTTAAATACAATCATCATCATCGGCTGCAGAAAAGGGTATTTATCTCTACTTCCATGTTTTCTAAGATCCTTAGATTGATCACTGTGGTAACTTTAGTAAAGACTGTAAATATCTCCAGCTGAGAACTGTCCATTCTTGTGGATCATCCTCTTCATCACTGAGTATTTTTCTGGTCCAGCACATCCTTCACGTAATCTTGTGCTTATGTGACTCGTTGGGCCAACAGACTTTTCTACTTGTGAAATACAGATAAAAAACATTGCAGACCGGACCAGGCATACCAGTATATCCAGGGCGAACATAGCGAACCCCAACAACGGCTCAGTCGACCTCTCCCGGGGACTTTACGGAAATCAACCACTTCCAGTCTCTCCATCGCCCAGGGCAAAAGCATCTAACCCTTAAGTTGGTATCGGACGTTCATTCCTCCAATAAGTTTAGGAAGCCACTTATCCATACCTTTGACTTTTCTTTGAGAGCGGCGGTTGATACTGATGAAGAGAACTGGATGGCCTCTAATGTCTCGTTCAAGCGAGCCTGTAATAATGAATTGTGTTGGAACAGGCTTGATTGATCAATCATAATACTCGAGTCTTGGGTCAAGGTCATAATGTTGCTGATGGTTGGATTGAGAGGAATCTAGCTGGACTCGAAGGTCTGGCCAAGTGACCTCGCAATCCGGTATCTAATCACTTATCTAATCATACATGTGGGTCCTGGTATAGATGGTTTGCAAGCTGGAATCGCATGGATCCAACAAATTGCCTGTCTGAATGATTTGCCAAAGTTTATGCATCAGACCTCACCATCCTCCATGTTTGTATCCATTTTGCTGACATCAATCTCGCTTTGGTACGTACACCTATACCCCGGAAGGAACTGGATCATAAGCTGAAATCGGACAAGAACTTCTAGAAAATTGTGAGCTTGTTTATCCCCCTGTAATTCAGGCAAAGATTACCCAGAGAGCCATTTTTGGCCACGGGTCTTGCTCAGGTCGAGTTCTGGAGTAGATGTCACATGCGGTTCTGGATGCCTCTGAGAGCTGATTTTGGCCATGCCTGGGATTCGTCTTCAGAAAGCTTCATAAATGGCTGTCTAGTATGCTTCCAACCGATATCGACGTCGCCAGAGGGTCGCAAGTAGCACGTA